AAGGGTGGGCTCCTTTAATGCTGTTCACGGATTTAAAACTTCCAGCAAAAGAAACAATTGTGGTTCCTTATTTTGGCTAAAATTCAATCTACTTATGATTTATTGTCTCACGCTTTTAGTAGTTATGATCGACTTAACATGGCATTTGTCGTTAGCTCAATTACTTGTTGCTACGAAAAATTGTTTTATTCTGACGTACATTTCAATTATGGCGTTACTCATTCCCTTTAGTACCTTTAAATACACGAGGCTCAGAAAATGGTCCAGAATTAGAAAATGCCTTTTGACCATTTTTTCATTATCTTATTCGTGGATTCACCTCATCTATCTTATCTTATCTTGCAATCTTTTAAAAGTTTTACTTATAAGGGCTGGCGATATTCATACCAACCCAGGTCCACTGAGTAGAAATGTGGTACATTTTGATCATTTGAACATTTTATTCAGCAATATAAACAGTATCGGCTCTGATAACGGTGCTCGTTTTGACATACTCACCCAAAGAATAGAACTAGACCAGATTAAAGTTGCTGGAATCTGTGAAGCTGGGTACCATGATCAAGATTTTATAAATTACAAAATATCTAATTTTCACATGCCAGTTTATTCCAATAAGGGAAGGGGTATACTTATTTATATCCATGAGTCTTTGAGATTTTCTAACAGGGGAGATATTGAAATTGATGGCCTAGACATTGCTTTTGTGGAAATTGTAGTAAATCACAAGAAAATTTTATATGGAGTTGGTCATCGTTCTCCTAGCCAAAGCGCAGACGAAACGAGAATCTTCTTCAATAAACTTAGACAGGCCCTTAATAAAATTGAGAACCAGTCATTCGATAGTGTTCTGATTACTGCTGATACTAATGCTAAGAATAGTATCTGGTATGCCGAAGGTACATCAATAGATAATCTGGCTGGTGACCTTCTTTTTAATGTCACTCAAGATTTCAACTATTTGCAGCTAATTGACCAACCAACACGCATAAAAGATAACTCTAAAACTTGCATAGATCATGTTCTTACAAATACTCCCCTGGCTGTGTCTGCAGCTGTAGTTGACTCTCCAATAGGTGGCTCTGACCATTGCACAATTATCGTCAAACTTAATGTTAAAATTCCCAAGGAACCAGCTATTAAACGAACTGTTTGGAAATATGACCAGGTCAACCTTCAAGCAATAAATAACGCAGTTAGAGAACAAAACTGGAATGGTATTTTAGATAATGACATTGATTCAAATACTTTAACCGAACAATTTATCTATGCCCTCAAGACAATATATTCGACTTTTATCCCTCATAAAACAATAACTGTTAAGGCCAACACCCAACCATGGTTTACAGACAAAATAAAGCACGAAATCAACAAAAAGAAAAAATTCTTTACCCAGTTGAAAAATAGTAATACTCCAGAAAATTTTGAAAAATATACTACCCAGACTAGAATTTTAAATGAACAAATACAGCTTGCTAAGCGTGAATACGAAACCAAATGTAAAGAATCCATTACTGAACTTTCTAAAAACTCTAAACAATATTGGTCCATAACCAAGAAATTATTAGGTATAAACTCCTCTCAAACCACCATTCCCACCCTCTATGACCAGCACAAAGGTAAAACTTCATCTAGCTCTAAAGATAAGGCAAATGCTTTTTTAGAACATTTTTCAAGTAAATACCATTCAGATAACTCGTTTTTGGATACTACCCTACCTCAACGCTGTCATAACAAAATTGATAACCTTAGAACCTCCCAAGAAGAGGTTATGAAAATAATTCTCAAACTTGATCCAAATAAAGCTTGTGGCCCTGATGAGATCACAATTAAAATGTTACAATTGACTGCTCATACTATATCTCTACCACTTTCTAAGCTCATTAACAAACTTATTCTCCATGAAACCTTCCCCGACATATGGAAAATGGGCAGTATCTGTCCTATATTTAAAAATAAAGGCGATAAAACTGACATTGGGAATTATCGACCCATTACTCTTTTAAATATTTTATCAAAGGTCTTTGAACGTGTTGTAGCAACAAGACTAAATGCCCACCTTAAAGTTAATAATTTAATATTTGAATTCCAATCTGGGTTTCTTGAAGGGCATAACACTGAATTCCAGCTACTGGCAATAAATCACTTTCTTCATTCAAATATCAAAGATCATAAAGCCGTACGTGCAATATATTTAGACATTAGCTCTGCTTTTGATCGTGTTCCTCATAAGCTGCTGCTTGCAAAACTGAAAGCATATGGCATTGAAGGCCAATTTTATCAAATTCTCCAATCATATTTGTCAAATCGTAGAGTCAACGTAAATGTTGGTGGTCAATCATCGGATACTTCTTCTGCAAACTATATCAACTGCGGCGTCCCTCAGGGATCTATCCTGGGTCCAATTTTATTTTTGATTTATATAAATGACTTACCCGATGATCTTTTGGGAAAGGCCTTTATCTACGCTGATGACACATCACTATATTACCCCTTTGATCCATCTGATCCTGACATGCATATAATCAATCATGATCTTAATATCATAACTAACTGGTCTCAAAAATGGAAACTAGATTTCAAGCCTGAAAAAACAGAGGAAGTTATCTTTCAAAGCCAGCGCTGTGTATTTCCTACTCCGCCACCTTTAGCCAAACTTGGAAATGGGGAAATTAAAAGGAATAATCTTCATAAGCATCTAGGGTATACTTTCGATTATCTTCTTTCTAACAAAAATCATATATATGACATTGTCAAGAGAGTACAAAAACTGCTTAATCCATTGAAGGCACTTACATCAAAGATTAACTCGAAACATTTGGAGACAATGTACAACTCATTCATAAGGCCTCATTTTGATTACGCAGACATTCTTTATCATTCATCAACTCAAGCACTGATCAATATCCCTAGCAAGTTGCATTATCAGGCTGCATTATTGTGTTCTGGGTGTCTCCATGGCTCTGATACAGGTAAAGTTATGGGGGTCTTAAACTGGTGCACACTACCCCAAAGGAGGGAACAACACATTCTTAACTTCATGTACAAAGTAATCAGAAACCAGGTACCATCCTATGTATCTTCAATATTTGAAGAATTCAAAAATCCAGCTACCAGAAGAACAAGCAATACAGAAGTATACCAAATTCCTATAAGGTCAACTGCCCAATTTATTAAATCCCCTATTCCTAATGCAATATCACTGTGGAACAAATTACCTAAACCTCTTTTAGAATATGCCTTAAAATTTTCCCTACCATCGTTCAAAAAAGAAAGTAATAAACACTTCCTGCCCAAGAGAATAATCAGTTCAACGTCCCTGATTAATTTAACAAGGTCTCAAGAAATCACTCTCAACAGAGCTCGTGTAGACTTATTTTTGAAAGCAAGACTTTTTGCACACCAATTTACATTTATAGACTCGGCTAATTGTTCTTGCGGCAAACCTGAAACACTAAAACATTTATTTTTCAAGTGTCCTCTATGCCAAATTAATAGGCATGCCCTGATGGAAGAGGTCAACAATAACTTCTATAATAAGATCAGCCAACTAACAAACATGGATGATAAACTTAATTTTCTCTTATATGGTGACGAGGCATTATCCTTAGCAGAATTAAGTAAACTTCTTATCATCGTCAGCAACTTTCTCCATGACAACAAGACATAGCAAAGAGGTCTCATCTAAGCCCTGGAGAACTCATAATATATTTATTTTGTTTTTTACACATCTACTTGGCACAAACCCCTCTGGTCCCTGGGATACCCTTCGATGCACAGTCGTCCTCAAACAGCTAAATATTATACTTAATTTTTTACATGTAAGTGATGGCCAACCTATAATGCCAATATGGCGATTGGTGGCCGAAAATGTATTGACTTTACCTCAATAAAGTTTATACTATAAAAAAAAAACAAAAAAAACTTAATATCCGAAATCATTATTTTTATTTAAGAGTAGGAAAGAAAGAACATGTCAGAGGTGAGCGATTGCATAACCTGTACAGCCACTAAACTGACAAAATCATTGTTTCCATTTTCAGTAAAAAGGCAACTGACTAGTTATTTACAAGGCTTTATTAGAGAGGCTTTATTAGAAACCACCTCTAAGCACATATAATATATCATTTATGTTCTGGGAGACTCCTTTATGATATTGATATACATATTTTGATATATTCAATGAATATTATTATTATTAGAACGAGAAAGGGGATGGGGCTTCATTTACGAGTCAAAACGGACTGCTCTGGTCCTTGTTGAGAATATTCAATCAGTAATACACCCATTAATAGCCATCAAAATATGCTTGATACCCATACATTTTGGTAAACAAATGTTGAATATGTAACTAGATTTGATCTTCCAAGGCAAATATGTAAGAAGTTTGGTCAAGTTGAATTTTTTAATCAAGATTGCTTGGACAAAAACAAACAAACAGCAAACAGAATTAATCATTTCAAAACGGAGTCCCAGGCTTGAACTTGTAATTCAGGAGAAGAGGGGTCATATCAAACATTGTCTAGTTTAATCCATAAACTTTGTTGTTTTCACCTATGAACTTTACATCAAATAAATGAGTGACTGAACAATGCTCAGTAAAATTTTGGTGCATTTTAGAGAAAAAATAAAGGTTTTGCGTTCAATTAACAAATGTTCCAATTTTTTTGGACCACCCTGTAGACACTTTGAGATAACATTGAATTATAAATGCATGTTGAATATTCCAGAATGTGAAGTACATGTAGTAGTATATTCTTATGTATTCTTTCCTCACATGAAAAATATTAATGGATGAAAATGTTGAGAGCAAGCATTCAGAAAATTCTCATGCAAATATATCCATGCTCTAACTTATATATTCAGCAGACTCGGCATACACATGCTGCAAACCCAACTAATAAACACTATCAGCTATTACTATCCCTAAACCATATATCTAAATTCTAAACATTTCTCAGCATTATGAATGGCTTATTGTAATATGGCCTAATATCTGATACCTAATGCTTCTCCTCCTACTACTTGTTTTTGCTGCAAAAGTTCTTGTTGTTGTTCTTTAATTAACTCTTGTTGTTCTTGTTGTTTGTCATTGGGAGGCTGCTGTTGCATCTGTTGGACTTCCTCCCCATGTTCTTGCTGTTGTTGTTGAAGAATGTTGTTGTCTATATATACACAAACATGCATACTTAAACTATGCAACTAAACTAAACATTAAATAGAAACAGCAACTCATTGGAGTTGCAAATCCCACAGAACAAAACTTATTTTATCAATTATCTCATTACTTTGAACATAACATGATAGAATACAATTTGTACCAAATCCTATGACTGGTATTTAAGTTATTAGAATTACATTTTTAATGACAGCCATTTTGAATGAGCAGCTATCTTCATAATTCAAATCCAAATCCGTCAACTGGTATTTGAATTATCAAACATTACATTAATCATGAAAATTGGAGGCCATTTTGAAATGAGCGGACATATTGAAATGCTTCTTAGAGCAGGGGTCCTTTGCCCATTAGATATTACCATTTAAAATTCGGACCAAATTCTAAATGGGCAACTTTACATGAAATTGAAAATACCTCCTTGACCAGAGCTCCTTTGCCCATAAGATATTAGCGTATGAAATTTGGACTAAGTTCCATAATTTGGTCCATAAATAATAAAATAAAATAAAAAGATTACACTTTTTTCAAAAAAGGGCGGCAATTTTAAATTGAGTGACCATATTGAAAAATCCTTCTTGAGCAAAGATCCTACACCCACAAGGGATGAGCATATAAAATTTGTCAACCGATATTTGAGTTACTGCCCAGATAAAGAACAAAAGGTTGTAATTGATATATAGAGGGACAGACAAATGGACGGATTCTCCTCCATATCCTTATGAACTTCAGTGGGATAATAACTCTTCTAGGATGTACCTGCAATCGCTAAGGGATGGTGTCCAAAGGCAACAGTTGTTGAAGAACAAAGTATTCTTAGTAACTGACATTTTCAAATAAAATATTGATTTTTGGCACTTCAGCAAATGCTATTAGACAGTGAAAATGCAGCAATATTTTCATTATTGGGGGATTTAACCATCGAAATCAACTTGTTTTTCCAGCAATTGGACAGTATCCCTTAATTTAAAACCAACCATGCATTTTATCTTCTTGAAAAGTCAGGTATAAATGCAAAACATGCAGCAACCAGACTTTGAAAATGGATCCCAAATACTGAAATGTTATCTACTTTGTAGGGGCATAAAGCAATAGAATTAGCAGCCTGGCTAACATTACTGATGTATTGCATACAAAGATTTCAATCATTCAAGTCCCACCTTAATGGAGGGGACTATATTGTAAAAAGAATCTGATTTGCAATGCTATAACATGTCTAAGCAAACAAAACAAGCAATCTTTAGACACACCTTCACAAGCAAATAAGAAACATAACATAAAGGTGAACAATAGAAAAGAGAAACTTAAAGAAGCTAGATTTGAAACCATATCTTATATTACTGCATAAATTGTCTCATCTTTACTGGGACAGAGGACTTTCACTTCTTTTATGACTTTTTATGACCACACAACTTATATGATATTGTTTTATATAAATTTAATGAAGTGTATTTTTGATACTCAACCATCTATACATTTAAGGTTGATTTAATCTTCAAGGGGGGGATACATGAGCTTCCCAAATAACAAGGTTCAGTTAAGATATGGTTCCAAGACAGAATCTCAACCTTCACCCACCTAAAAGCCTTTCAGCACTCCTGGCACCTCTATTACCACCACCATGCTCTTGCAACACTTGATCTGCTTGTTGATCTAAATCTAATTTTTGACGTTGTTTTTGTTTATCTATGTATTGTTGTTCTAAATCATCTTCTTCTAGTTGATTATTTACTATGTTTTGTTCTTGTAGTTTTTGTAAAATTTTCTGTTGTTGCTGCTGTAAATCCTGCTGCTGCAAACCTAATTGATTAAAATTTTGTTCTTTTTTCAATTGTTCTTGATTAAGTTGAGTATTTTTACCTATCACTTGTTTTTGCTGTTGTTCTCCCCTCATTACTTGTTGGTTAATAACAGGTTGCTGCTGCTGCTGTTGTTGATGAATAATTGGCTGTTGTTGGTTTACTTGCTGTTGTTGATTATTTTGTTGTTGTTGATTAACTTGTTGTTGTTGATTAACTTGCTGTTGCTGATTAACTTGTTGTTGCTGTTGATCTACATGTTGGTTCACTTGTTGCTGCTGTTGATTTACTAGCTGTTGGTTGCCCTGCTGTTGTTGGAGCAGCTGTTGCTGCTGTTGACTCTTGAAGCCTTGGATCTGAGCCTGGAAATGAAAAAATAAGACCTTATAGCACAGCTGCATGTCATGTGTTTTCCCTCAACATGTACATAACTAAAAGATCTAAGCTGATTAGCTCACGGGTACATAATAATTAAATGTTAGAACAATTGTAATTGTATTGAAATATCCAAGTTATCAGTTCACATTTTCAGAACATAATCTTTACAGTAAAATCTCAATTTTGATCTTCTGAATGCATGACTTTTTAATACTTAAAGATCAACAATGCTATTCATAGATAGACATAGAAAATTGCATGCAGGATAATTATGAAAGTAATGCAATTATATTTTGGACACTCTATTTGATAATGATGTCATAGTTCATTATTTCATAATGAAAAATTACAACTGGATAATATAATTTTGGGGGGAAGAATCTAACATCCATGAAAAAATCATATTCCCGTATGAATACTAAATAAAACTAGATAACGGCAACTCCGCGGAGTAGCAAATCCCAACGAACAAAATATCAATTACCGAATTCCAATCAATTATACTCATTACTTTGGTTGAAAATGAAAAAATTAGATTTTAGAATTGCGAATTCCTGCAAAGCAGCCATTTTGAATTTTCTGAGGTACAAATCTGAAAAATAATAACATAATTGTGATCTACACCAAAATTCCTTCAATTTGAGTATAATATAGCTAGCCATACTTTGAAGGGATCGAAAAATTATTGCGAAATCGTACATTAGACGGCCATTTTGAATTTTACGAGGCTCGAATCAGAAAAAAGATACAATATTTGCAATCTACTCTTAATTGCCTTTCATTTGAGTATAATAAGGCTATACTTCAGAAAGATCTAAAAATTAGCGAAAATTTCTGTTTTCCTGTCCCCCCATACATGGCCCCTGGGGGTCAGGATGAAAAACACGGAATATATGTGAAATAGATAAATGTTGTGAATGCACTACCAAAATTTCAAACAATAATATTAATTACTTTGGTTTAGAATGAAAAATTTATGATTTTTGCGAAAAAGTCCCGTCATTTTTAAAGCGGCGGCCATCTTGAAAAAATTTTTTTTCACGTAAAACTATTCACCAATCTTTCCACTAAATATGAAGAAAATCTGTCAACTAGTATTTGAGTTATCTTCCGGACAGACGGACGGACTGACTGACTGACTGACGGACAGACGGACGGACGGAGGGCTTCACTATATCCCTAACGAACTTCGTTCGTTGGGATAAAAATTAAATATTGCGAGATAAGGATTAGACACAATGGTATCTGGTAGATGTCTCTCTGATATATAAATGGTTTGAAATTGACTTTAAATAGGGATTGACTATTCACTATTGAGGTCAATGGTAAAAAGGTTTACTTCCCCCAAGTATCTAATGTTCCTCCTCTTATCTCTCATGTATTTATTCAGCTGTATTTTACATAAATTTGTGAATATGCATTGTGCCTGACATAAAGAGAGTGCAACTGTAATAACAGTGCTTATAAATAAATCAATGTAAATGTCATGTTAGTTTTATGAAACCTTTGTAACTATTGACACATGCTTCATGTGAAGTTTAAAATATAAGCTGATCTGTGTATATTGGGAATTTGTGTTGAATATCCAGACATGCAAAGTGATTTAATGGTTTAGTGTATATAATATTTACAAGTGTATGTATCAAGAAGGACCCATAATCATGCAGGATCTGCTTGAATGAACATACTGTACAGGTATGTATTTTGTTTGTGTAAGTGCATGGATAATACATGTCTACATGTACATCCATTAACTCAATCCACAAAGAATGACCACCACCATTCTTTTAACAGACCTATATATTAATAAAAAGTAGGAAATATTACACAAAATATACGACTATTAGAATTCCCATTCAACCCATCAACTGTAAACTTAAATAAAGGTGTCATTTAGGAATAAGATAACAAAATACTGTTCAAACACCTCTAGTGCTATAATATCCTTTAACTAAATCCAGCCACCAGATCAACCAAGTCCCTATAATCCATCCATGCCAAGTCCAGAAAACTGAAAAGATATATGAACCTGTTGCTGGGCAATGACACCCTTCATTTCTTGAAAGCCATCAGCATATTTCTGTTTATCAAACTACAAAGAAGGATATGTATATATTCATCAGAACATATACCAACTAAAAACATTGAATACATAAACTAAACAGAGATCTTTGGGGGCCTAAATAAACTAATTTTGGCTCAACAATATTACAGAGCCTCGCCATAATTGTGAAAACAATACTTTCATGCTTTATTGTTTATTTTAGGCCCTTTCATTATGGATTTCAACACTTGAGAGTAGTTCACCATCGTCAAACTCAATAATGGCGTTCTTTACTATCAGTCGAAATGTTGATACATGCGCAGACCTCTATTTAGTGATATTTTCATTTCAAATATGGCGGCCAATCCGATGTCTGACGACCCTTACAAAGAATCTAGGCAGTTTGCATTTTTACCTCCTGTGAAATAACAAGTGGAATTTAGTAGTTGTTTTGTGTTTTGTTATCATTCTGCATCGTAATTCTATGTGATGTGGTGTTGAAATGTCAGCAGAAATACATATCCATACGATAATCGAGTGAATCAGATAACAGATTTTTCGAAAACCCGTCTCGTGCTAAGAGTGTAAAAACTTGTATTAACATGCTCAAAAGTGCCAATGTGCACATCAATGTCAAGCTAAATCAATGTTGTGTCTAAAACAGGTACCTGATCTACTCAAAACAGCTTGTCATTCACGTGTACACGCTTAGCAAACACGGCAAAATGACCTGAATCTTGGAATTTCGTTCGAGAGCTAGTAATGTTTGCTCCGGTCTTCGTCATAAGTGTTCATCAGACTTCACGCATGCGCAGGAGAAAAACCATCAACCAATAACGTTTATAAATCAATTTTGCGCATGCGCCTTACAACGGTAAAGAAATTCGTATTTATAAACGAACCAGTTTGAGATAACCCGATATCAGTCGGAGAAATCTGACGATCTACGAAACTCACTTCAAAAAATCAAATGCGGACTGACGGCGTATTCTACTATGTTTGGATCTAAAATTTTCAGTATAGATAAAGTCTTTTATGATCTTTCGAATGAGGTAAGTCTCTAGTTCGAAAGACAATCGTATCAACTTGAACAAAAGTTGAGTTTTGACGAAAAATTTTAACATGCGCAGAAGTCCCATTTTCGTTGTACCATATTGACTGCTATGAGGAATTTTCTTGGCCATTATTGAGTTTAACCTCCTTACTATTCTTTCCTTTGATGCAAGTTCTGGATCTATCGAAACCATTTTCCGCGATAACATTCAACTGATACTTGACAATAATATAAAAACACATAACATCAAGCGATTAAACACAATATTATTGTGTTAAATGTTCATTTATACTAAAAAATAGTTTGTTTTTTTTTCATCAAGAGATTTTATTGCCATTAATCATTAAAAGTACATATCATGCGGACTGACGGCGTATTCTACTATGTTTGGATCTAAAATTTTCAGTATAGATAAAGTCTTTTATGATCTTTCGAATGAGGTAAGTCTCTAGTTCGAAAGACAATCGTATCAACTTGAACAAAAGTTGAGTTTTGACGAAAAATTTTAACATGCGCAGAAGTCCCATTTTCGTTGTACCATATTGACTGCTATGAGGAATTTTCTTGGCCATTATTGAGTTTAACCTCCTTACTATTCTTTCCTTTGATGCAAGTTCTGGATCTATCGAAACCATTTTCCGCGATAACATTCAACTGATACTTGACAATAATATAAAAACACATAACATCAAGCGATTAAACACAATATTATTGTGTTAAATGTTCATTTATACTAAAAAATAGTACCGTGGGTACTGGGCTTACATGGTGTTGCTCAAAGTGAATGATGGCTAAAATGACAACAAATAAAAAAAAAAAACGGACAATTTTTTGCCAGCTTTTTGTAACAAAATTATTTTATACAGCTACTCTTTACAAAAATCCTGCCCATTTTTTAAAATGGCTGCCTACGACCCAAAATGTCATTAGACAGTATGCAATTCATACGAGTATTCACATATCAAATATGAATAAATCTTACTTGGTGTATTCGACTCAATTTTTTATACATGTTCCCGAACCTATGTAGCGTGTGGTTATTCACTTCGAGAGCCATGTTAGATTTTGAAACTTATGGCTCACCAACGGAGAAATGGACAGCTGAATAATAGTGACCTTTGAAACACAGCTTTGATCAGCGGCTTACTTTTGTTCTCTAACTATGTCATACATCATTATCATCCTTCCGTGCAAGTATTGGAGCGCTGAAGTACTTCCTTTTCGATCAAGACTTGTAATTGTTAGTCGAGTAAATGTTTTTTCTGACAAATTCCAATATGGTGTTTTCTGCTCGGACATTTTCCTAAATCTCCGGAGGTTGTCTGAACCTAACTCATTCTCAAAATTCATTTTGTTTGTTGCGTATCTCACTCCTAGCAAACCGCCATATTGGAAATGGGTCGAAAAAACATTCACTCGATGAACAAAAAGATCTTGATCGAAAAAGAAGTATTTCAGCGCTCCAATACTTGCACGGATGGATGATACTGATGAAAGACACAGTTAGAGACCAAAAGTAAGCCACGGATTTCATTATTCATGTTTTAAAGGTCACTATTATTCAGCTGTCTAGTGCACCGCGGGAAAGCTATTATATCAAAATTCACATAGCAGGAAATAAGCATGTGGTACATTCAGCACTTTATAATAATAACAATATGTACAATAGAGTATAGCCCCTCACTATAGCCATCATACCCTATAACCCAAAATTGGATACTAATGATTTTTGACAAGCATTTTCTCAGCAATAGATAAGCCAAATTCTTTGAAAATTTTTATTGGAACTATAGGGTAGCATTAGCAAATGATACAAACATGAAAGAAATCGGTCATAAATTATGCTAGTATTGCCAAAATATCCAATATCAATGCCTTAGTTATCTTTTCCAGTCTGAAGGAAGCCATTTTTTCCAACCAGGATTGCTTTTGTGTATTTCTTCCAATGATATCACCTCCAATGACATAATTATCCTGTCCTTAATGTGTGTTGGATGTAGTGCATTTTTGTTCATAAGTCTATTTACAGTTACTCCAACTCTTGCCCTTAATTATTTTAAGATTCAACTTCCACCCCATCTTTTCACCTTGAAACAGTTTTCAATAGTAGCCTTGGCTGAAAGGCATCGTAAGTCCTTCTAAACTGAAAGGATAGGTATCGATATGAACTGAATTAAACAATGTTTTTCTCTTAAACCAATTATTGAAAACATTCTGTAAAAAGAACACGGTCCTTTATGTAATGTTGACTGATTGACAACAATTTAATGCAAAAATTATTTATATATATTTTGTATAACTGCTTTTGCTAACATTTTTTGTTTTTTAGTACAATTGTTTTTTGTTTCTTTATACCAATTCTTGAGAATGAAATAAAATGCCTTTCCGGATGTTGTTGGAACAAAATAGCATATACAACATTTTTTCAGACCTCTCAATATTATAGTTATACAAAGGATAGTTTGGTTGATTTTAGAAAAAGTATTCAAAAAACAAAAACAAAAACCAAAATAGATAAAAATTAAGATAAACCTTTTATCTAATTAACAAGATACTTTTTTAAATCAACCAAAATTTTCTTTGTACAATTTCATTATTGAGAGATCTAAACACGTTTTGTTTATGTCAGTTTGTTCCAATGAGGTTTGGAAAGATGTTTCATTTCATTCCGAACATATGATACCAAGAACAAAAAAAGAAGTGTCTGATGTGTTTTCTAAAACAATATAGGGAAAAGTATATATATGTATAAATGTATATTTTTTTCAAATTATATTGTTTCCATTCAAAAGATGACCATTGAATTGACAATGTGTAAAATTATTCGAATTTTTTGATGACTGGGTCAAGAAAAATGTGTGTTCAAAAAGTTCACCATATCGATACCAATCCTTTTGGACAGAATGGATTCTGGATACAGGGAGCAATGAAACAAATCAATAAACCTGACACACAGACAAGCTATCCTGAGACTAAAACTGATTGACAGATGCTATGACCTGATCATAAATGGCACAAACTCTATGAATGTCTCTTTGAGCAGCTCTGATATTAGATTTTTTGACATGCATTTTTGAATTTGTCAATACTCACATAATTTGTTACCGATCTCTGTATCACTTGCTAATGATACCCTAAGGCTACTTTAAAATTACTCAATGAATTCGAGTAATATATTGCAGAGAAATACTTGTTAAAAAGTGGTTCCCTTTTTTAGATATACATAGTAAATAATATAATTAAAACACCAGTCACTATAAGCTTTCAAAGTATCTCTTTACAGTACAGCTCAAATGAATAACTGAAACATAAGTTTGGAAATAGAAGAAACCCAAGCTAAATGAAAATAAAAATGAAATTTCCAAATTAAATCAGAGAGATGTAAACATCAAACTAAACATACTGCTCGACATAATAATACCCAAATTGACTTTTTTTAGTTAAACATGTTAATATGAATCCGTCCACGATAAAAAAACAAAAATTAAAACACAAGATTTAAATAAAATATAGCCCATATACCTGTTAGATGAGTCTAGGTATAGGCCTGAACAGGAATTACAACAGGAATGAGATGTGCTTGGTGAAGAGTTTATGAAGCATTATTGGCAGTGAAACTGAAATTTGTGTCAAGCAAGGATGTTTTTGTATGTAAGTAATGAGGTTTAGGAGTTACAAAGGAGGTAGAACTAACTAAATAAATAGCCCAGTTCCTACTAATGCTCCAAACTTGGACTTCAGAACAATAGTATATCTGGCAAATACCAAGATAAACAACAAAAAGACTATAGGCTTTGGGTTGAACATAAATGTTATGGTCTGTTACTACTCTAGAACAGGTACCAATGGTATGTTTAAGAAACGCAGTAGGACGTTTACCACTTAAGCAGCAATATGAAGGCAATGTGCATGATTTTCTAACTCTGATGGCATATCCATAAATAAGGGTTATGTACTGGGAGGTTTTGGATATGAGGTTTATCCAGAGGGAGATATGCATATCTACCTGAGGGACCGTAGGGACCGAAGGTAGATGTGAATATCTCACGAGGGATGAACCCCATATCCAAACCGACCGTACATAACTGCTTTATCCTATACCAAGTAGAGTTTTCTAATTTTCTTTCAATTTTTTTCTATTTTTTCACATTTTTCAATTTTTTCAATTTTTTATTTTTTTCAATTTTTTCACATTTTTCTTTTTTTCAATTTTACTTATTTTTTCAAATTTTTTTTTCGAAGTGGGAAGATATGCCCTGGAGCGGGAGATATGGCGGGAGATATGGAGGTTCAGGATATGGAAACCTCAAAATCAGGATACGGGATATATTTTACCAACTTATCTCCCTAAAACTCTACTTGGCATAGGATAAGGGGCCATATCCAAGTGTCAACAAATTAGTTTGTTATGTGTCTCAATGGTACTGCACTAATTCCATAATCAACTTCTGCTACACCAACCATGTTTAGAAAACAGAATGGCCTTTAAACATGTGCCATCCCATCAGTTTAACACACTCAATAATGTGCAGAACTAGTATTTAAGTTATCTTACGGACAAACAGAATGACGGACAGAGGGCGGACGGCTTCAAATTAAGATTCAAAAATAAAATGAATCATTGTCACAGCTGAAGACAATTGGACACAGCCCTTTTATAGAGATGAAAATCATGACATCAAAATAAAGGGAAGGGATAATATAAATTAACCTGTAGCTGACGAACTGTGTTTGTAAGCTCGTTTATCTTTCCTTCTGCAGCCTGAGCCTGGTGCTAAATATAACATAACATGGTGTAAAAGGTGGAAAATATGGAATTGTGTAAGGTGGGACAAGAACCTTCATTTTGGTTGAAATAAAACATTATTTTTGCTGTTGTTGCAAATACCACCAGTAATCTAGCCCAAGCATACAATAAACAGGGATACAACATTGAAAGATTAAATGATATTTGGGCAATAAAAAGAGCTCTTTTACAATTATTTACTGAAGTTTAGTTATTAACAATGATTGATTTATCTGACTTTTCTATGTATGTAACCTCTGTAAAGAAAAAAAAAGGTGCGGTCCTTTATCAGTCATAACATTTTCAAAGTCTTAAGGTCTAAGGTCTTTAATGTCTTCTCTATATGTTATTTTCTTCATACCATTGTAAAGCCCATTCCAAACTGGTCATAACTGACAAGTGAAATAAACATCGGCACACTGACAGAAAATTATGGAGGTGCCTATACCTGTCTAAAACATGATTATTCGACAATTTATCGACCAATCGACCTCTTAATCTGAAGGATATAACCTCAAATTCTATCACAAAATGGTTGTAATTAATCAGACTTTCATTCTATAACTGATCTTTTTTACGAAGTTTTATTGGATTGAAGACTTTTTCAAATGGTGTATTCCTCTAAATGTAACTAACAATTTAACTTCATGTCTCAGAAGATCCCCTTTTTGAACACATTGCTAGGTATAGGATTTCTCAAATTTATGACGTCAATTTATGGTAAAAAGTCACACTCACGATTTTGGGAGTTGTTATATTCAATCCTTTCTAACTTTTTACCATATTTATTCTTTGAAATTTTCTCCATTTGGCCAAAGTATTCATACATTATATCTCTGAAAGTTTGGTATGATAATAACGAAAAAATAAAAAAGATATGATTTGTAAAGGACAATGCACCTTTTTTTCTTTACAGAGGGTATGCAGATTTGTAAGGAGAGTTCTCTATAGTCTATTTAACAAAACAGTGTATGCACTGATATTTCCATCTAAACTTATGGGACAGAATACACAAGCCATGAATATTCTATGAAAAATGTATCCAAACTTATGGGACAGAATAGACAAGCCGTGAATATTCTATTAAAAATGTATCCAAACTTATGGGACAGAATAGACAAGCCATGAATATTCTATTAAAAATGTATCCAAACTTATGGGACAGAATAGACAAGCCATGAATATTTTATGAAAAATGTATCCAAACTTATGGGACAGAATCGACAAGCCATGAATATTCTATGAAAAATGTATCCAAACTTATGGGACAGAATAGACAAGCCATGAATATTCTATGATATAAAGTTCTAAAAAGCAATAGTACTGGAGGCCATTTCCCATAAACATTGCAAAAACCAATTTGTAAAATTAAACTGTTTTTCAACTTTGTCATCATAAAAGCAAAGTTGGATTTGAGTCAACCTTATCTGTAATACTTGAAGAAATGAACCATAATAAGCACTACTGACATGTATGTGATAAATGTTTAATGAAATACCTGGTTGTTCTGGTTGAGCAAACTCTGTTCATTTAACTTGGACTGGACACCTGAATACCTTCGTTGCAGATCTGCAAGCTGGTCTAAAATATATATATAAGTTTGAAAAGTATTAAAGAGAAATATGTTTATTATGCATTACAAACTGATTTTCATCAATATGTAGACTTTTTGAAAAATTGGTCCAAGACATATTAATATGGTCCATGTTGTCTGCCATACTTATTCTGTCCACCTCGAAAACTATCAAACTGTTATATACATGTATATATGAAAAATGGATCGAACTATTCCACAATATAGCCCATGTAGTCTGTAAATGAGGTGCAAAACAAGAGCCTACTTTTTGGAGAGGACCAATGGTGGGAATTTTCTTCAAACCACATGATAACTCACCTTTCAGGCCTGATATTTCTATTTCTTTCTCCTGTTTAAGAGTTTGGTATTCTAGATGTTGCTTCTCCTGGATATTCTGATGGTCTTCCCTAAGTTTAGTATGACTGTCTTGTAGCTTGTTGTAGTCAAGCTGCAGGTCTTCATGCTGGCCCTACAATTAGACACAATGATCAGCACTTGTTGTTATTGTTATTGTCAATAAAATTGATCACTCCTTTTTTCTATTCTATTTTTCTATTTGGGAGATATTAAGGGTAACAAAAAGTTAAATAGAATGCCCAAGACAAACTGAAAGTATCTTCTTGAAATCCTGTTCTGTGGCATTCTTCCACAATGTGCAGTCGTGGTGAAATGTCTTTTGATATTAGCATAAGTAATTACATATACAATGTATACATATTTTAAGATGTATACATATTTATTTGAGGAATAATATTTAAAGAGAAGCAGAAAAAATGTATCAGAGATAATGATGCCCATTAGCAATTTTGAGCTTACCTTAAGAAGTTTATTTTCCTGCTGTAGTGACTCATACCTGTTGTTCATCTCTTGCTGCAATAGAAAACACTTAATTTATGCATATACAATGGGTGATCGATGTCATTATACAATATGATAAGATGCTCTCATTTCTTTATTTAATGCAACTAAAAAACTCCACAGAGTAGCAAATCCCACCGAACAAAACTTGTTTTGATAAATAGCGACCATATAAAATTTGAGCCAAATCCATCCACTGGTATTTGAATTATCAGAGAATATGTTTTTATGATACATGGCTGCCATTTTGAAATTCAGCTGTCATCTTTAAATTTCTTCTTTAGCAGAGCTCCTATGTCCCAAGGCATCAGCATAGACAATTTAAAGATCTAATAGCAAAGGTTTTGCAAAAATAAATCAATGTAGTATAAAACAAATGTATGTATTATGAAGAAATAAATATATAATGAAAAAAATAGATATGTGTTTGTAATATTGGTATAAACTTAAGATTAAAAAGTGTCACTATCTCTTTCATTTTTCAACAAATATAGGCTCACGTGACATGTGACGCGGGGCAGTCAATTTTGATCTATCGTAGACCATATCAGTATCAAATTACTGATATTTCAACCTCGTCTTGCGAGGCCATTTTGATTTGAAACATCTTGAATTTGGTGTCAAAATGAAGCTGGTCACGCCCACTTTCAGAGTTATCAATGAATCATTTACTACGACTACTATATTCATTTAGGAGGCGTGTAAAGTTAACCAATCAGAAAGACAATTGTTCCATATATGGCAGTTCATTAACATATTCAGTGTTTACTACTGCTTTTCATGTCATGACAACACGAGTAGTAACCAATCAAGATACCGTATTTTATCACGTGAGTTCAGAGTGACACGCACGCGACATGTTGTCTGGGGTGATCGCGATGTTGAACAATTTCTTCTCGGAATTTGTCCAGAGAAATCAGCGATTCTAAATTAAGGTAGGATCTGCCATTTTTTCCTGTACAAGTTATAACTTATCTCTATCGAATCCTAAAGTTTTGGAAGAAGATATGAAGCGTAGGTTTAAAAACGAAGCGATTAATTTGACGATCTGATTTTGCAATTTGCAATGGCCAATTTACTGCAAGTCCAGTGCATGTATTTGACAAGAGATAGCGCCAAGTCTGGTATCTAAATGCTTGTTAAGCCACTCAAAAACAAGATCCATATCTTCTAAATTTGATAACTTTGCAGAAAACCTGTTTTCATAATCTGTTTTCCGCATCCAGATTCAAACTGAGTATGATAATAGGATCGCTGGAATCTTCAGTCAATGGCAACGGGTCTTCATTCCAGAACTCACATTTTTAGTTGATTCTCCGTCATAGTTCTTGTTTAAAGTCCCCATATCTGCTCTCTTACTGCCAGACTTGCACACATTTCCCCTCCTTAAATTGTCTTCATTCAAATTACACCCTCTCGCCGATTTATATAGTCATTTCCCAGAACCCGGGAATCAGAATCGCTGAACATGGCGTAGAATAATGGAAATAACGTCACAACGCATGCGCGTAAATCGACATTTCATGGTCCAAAGATTTCAATGGAGAGCAGTCTTCATCAAAATTTAAAATCTTTATAACTTTTTAGCAAATCATTTATTTTCTTAGGATTCAACGGATCCTTGTTAGACTCAACGAAGTGTTCATTTTGATATATAAATTAGCAAAATCCATCCACAGATCTTTCGGCCTTTTAATGATTTAATTTTCGGGATATTTTGCTAAAATCCCCCATTGACCGCCATTATAAACTTTGAAAAAGCTCAAATCCTCATCATTTCATATCATTCGTTAAGTGATCTAAACAACTCCAATCGCTTAGGATTCAACGGATTCTAAGAGATCAAAGCTAATACAATACGATGACAACCCCCGTTTCAATATTTGCCGCATAATCTTTCGGCCTTTTAGGTTATAAATTTGTCAATATTTTGATTTTCGACCATTAATGACGTACTTGGATCCGAGATTCATTGTCCCGGGATTCATGACGCTATTTCCATTATTCTACGCCATGGTTTGCCATATTGAACATATTATATGTACTGTAATATCTGTACATTGACTGCTACCCGTAATGGTCACGTGACTAGCGCGATACAGGAAAAATGGGGAATTTCGAAACAACAATTTTTGGGCACTTTTATTGCAAATTTCAGGTATTTATAAAGTGTTTGTGGTATAAAATATAATCCACAGACATAAATGAACATCCAAACTACATATTTCATTAAGTTTTGGAGCCTTTTTTGCTCTTAAATCAACATCTTTAATCCAAATCCTTCAACTGGTACTTGAGTTATCAACGATTACATGTTTAATGAAAAATGGCGGAGATTTCAATAAATAGCAGCCATCTTGAAAATTTCTTCTCAAGCAGAGCTCCTTTATCTCTAGGCATCAGTATATAAAATTTGAAGTAAATAAGTCCAATGGTATTTGAGTTACCAAAGATTACCTCTTTTATGAAAAATGGAAGTCATTTTGAAATGCAGCTGACTCCTTTGAAATTTCTTCTGAAGCAGATCTCCTTTTTCCCTAAACATCAGTATATAAAATTGGAACCAAATCCATCCACTGGTATTTGAGTTATCAATGATTACGTTTTTTTACGAAAAATGGGGGCCATTTTTAAATTCAGTGGCCATCTTGAAAATGTCTTCTTCAGCAGAGCTTCTTTGTTATAGAATTTGAACCAAATCTGTCAACTGGTATTTGAGTTATCAAAGGTTACGTTCTTTTATGAAAAATGGCGGCCATTTTCAAATTTAGCTGCCATCTTGAAAATCCCTTCACGAGCAGAGCTGCTATGTCCCTAGGCATTAGCATGTAAAATTTGAACCAAATCCATTCAATGGTATTTGAGTTATCAAAGATAGCATTTTTTTACGAAAAATGGCGGCCATCTTGAAAATGTCTTCTTGAGCAAGGCTCCTTTGTACCCAGGCAACAGCATATAAAATTTGAACCAAATGCATCAACTAGTATTTGAGTTATCAAAGATTATATTATTTTCCGAAAATGGCCGCCATTTTAAAATAAGCCGCCATATTGAAAATTCCTTCTCGAGTAGAGGTCTTACACCCATAATGCATAAGGCTATAAAATTTGAATGAAATCCTTCAACCGGTATTTGAGTTATTGCCTGGACACACGAATGGATGGACGGACGAACTGATGGATGGCTTTTCTATATCCCCCTTGAACTTACTCAATGATTATTTTATAGATGGCTGCTCATTGTAGTGTATTTTAATCCATAAAGGGGGTTTTACACATGCTTTTCATTTTTGTCAGTTTTTGTTTTTAGCAAAATGGTGAGTAAACAATAGAAAACCAACAACAAAACACCAAGTGCATGTCATACTTTTATTGTGGAATCATAGAATAATCATTTTTCGATTAATTTAAGGTCAGATTGAATCAATATGGATAGGACATATTTTAAATACTTTGGAAATTTAAGGGTCAACCCCTAATTAAGTAGATAAAACAAAGAACAATTATATTATCTGCCATCTTGTAAAGTTACTCTGTAAAACAGTGATGAAAATAATCAGAAACAGTAATTGAATATTCATAAAAGTTATTAAAGATAAATATTAGAATATCCATACTTACTCTATCTCTTTCATACTTGCGTTTGATTTCTTCTATATTAGCGTTAAGATCTGGAAAAAAGGTTAACATTGGTTGGAATGATTGCATACGATTAGAGCTAAGAATTATTCCTATGTTTGGAATGATTGCATACAATTATAGTTAAGAATTATTCCTATGTTTGGAATGATTGCATACAATTAGAGCGAAGAATTATTCCTATGTTTAGAATGATTGCATATGAGTAAAGTTAAGAATTATTCCTATGTTTGGAATGATTGCATACAACTAGAGTTAAGAATTATTCCTATGTTTGGAATGATTGCATACAATTAGAGCTAAGAATTATTCCTATGTTTGGAATGATTGCATACAACTAGAGTTAATAATCATTCCTATGTTTGGAATGATTGCATACAACTAGAGTTTAGAATTATACATATTGTTGGAATGAATGCATACAACGAGAGTTTAGAATTATTCCTATGTTTGGAATGATTGCATACAACTAGAGTTAAGAATTATTCCTATGTTTGGAATGATTGCATACAGCTAGAGTTAAGAATTATTCCTATGTTTGGAATGATTGCATACAACTAGAGTTAAGAATTATTCCTATGTTTGGAATGATTGCATACAACTAGAGTTAAGAATTATTCCTATGGTTGGAATGATTCCATACAACTAGAGTTGAGATTTATTCCTATGTTTGGAATGATAGCATACAATTAGAGTTAAGAATTATTCCTATGTTTGGAATGATTGCATACAACTAGAGTTAAGAATTATTCCTATGTTTGGAATGATTGCATACAACTAGAGTTAAGAATTATTCCTATGGTTGGAATGATTCCATACAACTAGAGTTGAGATTTATTCCTATGTTTGGAATGATTGCATACAACTAGAGTTAAGAATTATTCCTATGGTTGGAATGATTCCATACAACTAGAGTTGAGATTTATTCCTATGTTTGGAATGATTGCATACAATTAGAGTTAAGAATTATTCCTATGTTTGGAATGATTGCATACAACTAGAGTTAAGAATTATTCCTATGTTTGGAATGATTGCATACAACTAGAGTTAAGAATTATTCCTATGGTTGGAATGATTCCATACAACTAGAGTTGAGATTTATTCCTATGTTTGGAATGAATGCATACAACTAGAGTTAAGAATTATTCCTATGGTTGGAATGAATGCAAACAACTAGAGTTAAGAATTATTCCTATGGTTGGAATGATTCCATACAACTTAAGTTAAGAATTATTCCTATGGTTGGAATGAATGCATACAACTAGAGTTAAGAATTATTCCTATGTTTGGAATGATTGCATACAACTAGAGTTAAGAATTATTCCTATGTTTGGAATGATTGCATACAACTTAAGTTAAGAATTATTCCTATGGTTGGAATGATTCCATACAACTTAAGTTAAGAATTATTCCTATGTTTGGAATGATTGCATACAACTAGAGTTAAGAATTATTCCTATGTTTGGAATGATTGCATACAACTTAAGTTAAGAATTATTCCTATGGTCGGAATGATTGCATATGAGTAAAGTTAAGAATTATTCCTATGTTTGGAATGAATGCATACAACTTAAGTTAAGAATTATTCCTATGGTTGGAATGATTCCATACAACTTAAGTTAAGAATTATTCCTATGTTTGGAATGATTGCATACAACTAGAGTTAAGAATTATTCCTATGTTTGGAATGATTGCATACAACTTAAGTTAAGAATTATTCCTATGTTTGGAATGATTCCATACAACTAGAGTTAAGAATTATTCCTATGTTTGGAATGATTGCATACAACTAGAGTTAAGAATTATTCCTATGGTTGGAATGAATGCATACAACTTAAGTTAAGAATTATTCCTATGTTTGGAATGATTGCATACAACTAGAGTTAAGAATTATTCCTATGTTTGGAATGATTGCATACAACTAGAGTTAAGAATTATTCCTATGGTTGGAATGAATGCATACAATTAGAGTTAAGAACTACACAACAGCAACGCCAAAGCGTAGCAAATCCCATCGAACAGCCATGGCTGGTATTTTTACAAACAAAGTACACCTGTATATAGCAAAAATGGCAGTCATTTTTCAAAATGGCCACTTTCTACCGAAAGTGTCATTAGACAGTGTGCCATGCTTATAGTATTCACATACCAAATGTGAACAAAATCTCTCCACTCCTTTCCAGATATAGTAAAATACGTTAAAATGGTGGCCATTTTTCAAAATGGCCTCCTTCTACCAAAAGTGTCATTAGACAGTGTGCCACGCTTATAGTATTCACATACCAAATATGAACAAAATCGCTCAACTACTTTTGAGCGAGTTACAGCAAAAATTGTAAAATAAAGAGTAAAGGCCGCCATTTTTCAAGATGGCTGCCATGTGATTCTTTAATATCTACATTTCTAGCTTTATTAATGTCCTATATAATCTTTTTACATTTAAAACATATTGCTATTACAGTTTTACATATTGCACCTAAATAACTGTATTTGAGTTATTGCCCAGACTTACGGAGGCGTTCCCTATATCCCTCCGAACTTCGTTCGATGGGATAATAAGTCAAAGAGACCGACTTGGGCAAGGCTAACAAAAGAACCATAAATGGTTTAGACCCTATGGAATTCTAGTATCTCTGATTTGTACAAATGCATGTTGTTAAATAGTATATACACAAAGAACCATATATGGTTTAAACCCTATGGTGCATCATATTTTTGACCATGAGTATAGTCACACCCCATTCTCTTATACGTCGTAACACCGGAAGTTTACGGCGACATACAAGCATTTCAGGAGGGAGATATGTAAGTACTCATTTATTTCGACGTTTTGACAGAATATGGTCATTTCCCTTTCGTAGAGACATTGCCCATACCATGCAGATATATTTCTAGTATCAGTACGTCTCGACATCTTGCCTGAACACGGTTTAGAACTTTTCAAACCTTCTAGAAAGCACGACATTTTCAAGAAAAAAATGATAATTTTTCACGAAAATCGTCATAGTTTCTTCAATTCTACCCCTATCATCTTGAAATATTGATAAGATTAACAAAACAATTTTTATATATCATCCAGATACTTCAGTTTCCAATATTATTGAAAGAATTCCAAGAAATTAATTTTTCTTTGGAATCATACGACGTCCAGGAGGTTTACGGCGTTTAGGGAATTTGATATCTACAATGAAATATATGTCCAACTGATTTTTTGGCTACATATTTCAATGTATGACTGATTTACACGAAAACAAATTTACATGAAATAAAATGTACAAGATTGAGACTTGATTTTCCCAAGGCATAATTCAATATCTTTTGTTTTTAGTCGTAAACATCATAAAACATACACTACAGCTAGCCTGCACACATATCTTGTTGAGTGAAGTATGTCTATCTTTAGCCTCATTGTGTGCATGAAATATACATTAATTTTTCTTTTGCAAATATTTTTAGCCAGTTGATTGGTTTTGGTGAGGTCCTGTAATCATAAAGTTAAGCATACCCACTCAGTCACATAAGCAATGCAAGATACGTTTCATGATACACAACTGTCGTTCAAACTAACTATACTTCTGATGCATGAAATGTCCTAAATTAAAGAGACGTTTTTTCAAAAGCCATGCTATATGGTTGGTGTGATAATTTGCATTTGCTTTCTTGAATTAAAATTAAATGTGTTAAACCATTGTTTCAGGTCGTGGTTCATAGGAAGAAAACATGCACCTTCTGTGGCAAAGGGTATACCAGTCAAGTAAATTTGTCTAGCCAAATGAGGTCAGTCCATGGCGCAAAATTGCTCGAATGTCCACAGTGTGAAGTGGAGGGTTTTATAACAAGGGATGCTCTAAAGGGACATCTTGTATTTTCAACCAAAAAAGCTGACAAATGTAGTTGGATACACATCATTTTTTAAATTTCAAATTTCAACAATTGTCACTTTCCGAAACAAAAAATACAATACACGATCATGAACACTATATAAGATTCAGAGGGAGAATGTAAACAGTTGTCACAATAATCTGTGGATTGAAATTGAGATGTTTTTTTATGATAAAATGTCTGAAAATAAAGACTGTAAGCCTCATACCCAATGGTACCTCATGATCTTTTGCAATGAGTGAAATAATCTTTGCCTATCAATCAAAACATTTTTTGATATATTCTCAATTATTAGTTTCTCATATACTTTGCATTATGGTGCGCATTTGATAGAAACAAACCATTCTTAGGTAATACATCTCAAATGATGCATTGAATTCCTGGCTAAAATCCTGATATACTAGTAACCTGTTAGTCCAGTTTAATTACCCAAATGCGAGTAGGTAGTTACCAGTTTCACCACCAGGTGGCTGATTCGGGTCAATTAACATGGCAGGTATATAAGAAAGTTCCCTTAAACTTGAATATTATCAATTTAAGTGGCTCAATTTTAATATAACCCTTATGTGTCTGATACTTATACTAATGAAAATATGTCCAGTAAAGCAAAATGTTATCTGTCCACTAAAAGAAAAGATATTTCATTTTTTGTGATTTTATAGCATGGGGTCTATGGGGAATCTCCCCGAGCTAGAAGTCACATTTTCAAAGAAAATTAATTTTTCAAAGTTGATAAACACTTTTTAAAACCACATTTCTAGAAGCAATTTTACATGTAGATTTCAAATATGATATTACTTTGACTGAATTTTGAATTTTTAATGACGTAAATCAAGATTATTTCTACTCGCATCTGGGTTATTAAACAGCTGTCTTTTAAAAGACTTTGGAAGTGGGGACTTCAAGTCAAGAGACTTATTAGGTGCATATGGCGAATACTTTCTTTTTCCGAAGTGGTAAGGCTTTTGGGGTGGGTAACCCGATTGTCTTTGAGGAGAAGTAAAGCCTCTCAAATTTATTCTTTTTTCTTCTTTTTGCTCCCTCCGAGGGACAATTTTAGTCTCCAGGGCTGGAAACCCTCATACTGACCCGACTTAAAGAAAATACATTTATATTACCATGAACTCATCAATACGCGTACGTACGTTAAATGCTTAATCAACTTTAATAAGTGTTTAGCGAGGAAAGAACAAGGCAATATAAAGAAACAATGTCATGGTGTACGTCGTAAACCTCCTTGACGTCGTATGATTCCAAAGAAAAATTAATTTCTCGGAATTCTTTCATTAATATTGGAAACTGAAGTGTCTGGATGATATATAAAAATTGTTTTGTTAATCTTATCAATATCTCAAGATGATAGGGCTAGAATTGTAGAAACTATGACGATTTTCGTGAAAGATTATCACTTTTTTCTTGAAAAATGTCGTGCTTTCTAGAAGGTTTGGGTAGTTTTAGACAGTGTTCAGACAAGATGTCGAGACGTAATGATACTAGAGGTATGTCTGCATGGTATGGACAATGTCTTCACGAAAGGGAAATGACCATATTCTGTCAAAACGTCGAAATAAATGAGTACTTACATATCTCCCGCCTGAAATGCTTGTATGTCGCCGTAAACTTCCGGTGTTACGACGTATAAGAGAATGGGGTGTGATAGTGATCATTAATACCGCATTTTCCATGAAGGCCAAACTACCCTAATATGTCACTTCTGCTGAATAGAAAAAGTAGTTTTAAAAAGAATGTAGTCCCAACACAATTGTGATCATGACGAGTCAGTAAGCTAGTATGTAGGTACAGTTGTCATCTTTTTGCAATGATAACATGCCATTTGTTCTGTAAATTATCCATTTCAGTAAAAAACCTACATTTTCCGTCTACTTCCGGTATTGCTCATGAAGCTCAGATCTTTTGAACGTCACAAGGAAAAAACTTGTAATCTGAGATTAATTTAAGTTGTTACTTTTCTCGCTGATAAAGTTCTTTGTTTAAATTAAAGCATATTTCAAAGGGAAACACTCTCATCGATAAAACTACATGTTCTGTCCTGGATTTTCATTTAATATAATCACTTATAATAATTGCCACTAAATGGCATTTATGCGTGGACGTAATCCGGCAGAGAAGTTATAAATACGAAAGAAAATTCAAGTCTTAATTCAAAGTCGTGCATTTGGGAAGTTTTAGGGTCATATATAGGAGAAATAGTATATTTTGAACATGGACCAAAAGTCTAAAGGGATGGGACAATATTGGGAAACCGTGACATCCCTAGTAGTGTCACAATTGACCAATTATTTCAAAAAGTAGATGTTTGACCCCTATTGAGTTAAGTGTCAAAATGTAGCTTAGACATTGCTTTTGAACCTCATATAGGTCTGTTGGGCCACATAAATTCATAACTCGAGATAAGAAATAAGCGTTTGCCTATTGACTAGTATGGTAGCGTAAATTAGGGCTGTTTTGCCAAAGAGATAATTGTATATGTCTTAAAATGGACTTTTGTCTCTAAAATACACTTAAAATCTACAATAGAACAGAATATATGTTAGCATTTTAGCATATTACATGAGAATGATGAGTTAAAGTTTATTGATTATAAAGGCTCTTATTGTATCTGCTATATTGCTAACTGGCTTTTTACACAATTACAAATGAATGCATAAACAAAGAATTGTTCATGGACAGAATTATATATTTCTATAAGGGGCTTTTTCATAAAATCTTTTTTTACCATTTAGATCCTGAACTTGGACATTATGATTAAATAACATGCATTTTGTACAATTAACTGACTGTATTTGATATTAATTAAAAATATGATTGCATGTACATGTAGTTACAATATGCAAAAGATAATTTTAAATACATAATAACTTAATAACCATCATGAGTAATGCACAAATATATCCCAGAGGCATCATAGATGTGAATTAAATACATTAACAGTTTATGTACAGATGTTCTATGTTGATTAAATACATCTCATGAAAATGTTTTTATTATACAGAGTGCAATATATAGATCTATATTGATCAAAAGATGATAATAAATTTATGTCATTATAAGTACTCAGAACTCTGAACCACATGCATTTTTAACCATAACCATTTTCTTCTATTTGATGGCATATTTGAATTTTATGTGTAAGGTCGGGCTAAATCTGCATTGACACAATCAAAAACCTTTAAGGCCAGGGCCCACTTTGGAATGTTTTTGCAATTTTGAAAATAAACCACTGAATATTCTAATTATTCAAACATTCTGAAGAAGCATCAACCCTCAATTGATAGTCAAGGTACATCAATGCATCTTTTGTGCAAGAATGAAAGATGATGTGTGGAATGAGTTATGTTTATCTGAAAATAGCACATGGTCACGAAATTTCATCAAGGTGCACCCTGACCTTAAAAGTTAATTTACTCTTTCAAGAGTACACTTGAGTACTCGATCACAATTTCAATGTGAAATCACAATCCACATGTCAATAAGTTCATAGAGTTATACTCCAGTGGTGTTTTCAGTTGATATAAATGGAACTACTTGCTAGATCAAGAAATTAAATGACTCTGGAAATACATTTACATATTCTAGCCCTACCATCTGTCTTTACATTTATATAGAAAATGTTCAATAAAGAGAAGTTTTTGCACATTTCAGCTATAAGATCATCAATTATGATAGCAGAAAGAAACAAGAATCATTTTAGTAAAGTATATATTACTCTATTTATTTTGAATTTATTTTGTTCATTTGAAGCAGGAACATTGGACAATTCAATTTTGTTTTTTCAATCTAAGACTTTGAATTAAAAATTTGCTTCACAGGCATGCAAGGGGTTTTGTTTTTCACATCCACTTTGAAAAATCTGCATAAAATACCCCGAAAGTGTGGCCAGCGCAAGCCCTGTGACATAACACCAGTGTTTTTCTTGAGGCAAAATAATCACAGGACCTCAGGACTGACAGGTTCTACATTTTGACCAGTCTAAATCAAAACTCATCGGACATTCAGACCTGTAACTTCAGTTTAATCATCAGTCCTTGTGAAAACTAACCAGTCCAAAGCACATAGCATTTAATATCATGTAAGAAATGAAAGTACCAGATTTAAGAGCATTTTCATGGTAAATTCAATTTCAAATCAACACATAATCCCATGTTTTTATATATACATGTATATTAATGCCTACTTACTTCTTAGTGTACACTTAACTGCAAAATATATAATACTCGGAGGATATTTCCGATAAAATCAAAACAAATTTTCACTTTGAAGTTTACATTATCAATACGGGACAGCATCTTTTCCATTCAATTGAGGTTGGGCCATGCAGCCGAAGGCAAGCCATACAACCAAAGGTAAGCCTAACAACCGAATTTTGCCGATTCAATCTGACGGAGAATGCCAAGCCTCTATTTTTGACCAATTAGAGACGTCCTCTTCACATTCGTGGTACCCTCGGCCAACTTCTTTTGCAAAGAGAAGCTTCAGCAATCTCCGGCTTTTCTTGAGGTATCTTCGGTTGATTGCCAAAAGTCGACACCCTTATCAATACACATGTGCATAATTCTGATCGTTTTGAGATTCTTTTGATTGGTTGATCAACTAGAAGTCATGTGACATCACTCATGGCTCACCATTGCTTGCTTATAAATACGGTTTCGTGATAGTCCTGTTAACAGGCATATCAATCATGGTAATCTCGAAACCGCTCCAACATATGACAAAATTTACCAACCAATCAGATTTTGCATTCAAACCGAAAGATAAACACACTCTCCCGCAGTGATAGATTCGAGGTGATAACCCAAGAGTCCTAACAACCAATCAGAGAACAATTTTTGTTTTCGTAGATCTAAAATGATAAACATCCTCCCATGCAGCCAATTTTCCAAAAATGATTTTTAGAATTACAAGGTTTTACCGTAGATATACTAAGATATCAGGGAAGCGATTGGACTTGTTAAGAAATGTTTAATAGATGAGCAACCGGACATTGGCGGAATTGTGGACTGGCTACTTGATAAAACTCATCAGTCCAAAACACTACATCACCGGATTTGTCCTATGGTCCAAACTCAAATAAAAACTCTCAATAACACAACTTGTTTAACAGGGATCTTATATTTTGCTATAGAAAAACCTTGACCATTTACACTGAATATCATTTCAAATTATTTTTGAGAGACGTTGGAATGGTTTCCAAGTACATACATACCTTCTCTAGTTCTTTTGTGGTCAGCTTTTTCTTGAGTGATAGACTTCTCAAGGCGGGCCTTGTTCTCATAAACAACTGCAAGAATGATAAAGACACAAATTGCAATTGTATTAATATGAACCTCAACTACTCCTCTCATGGTATTCTTCTACTTTTTTTTATGCAAACATAATATTGAAGATTTTACTCATGACTTGTATTTGGGAAGGTATTGAGTCAATTGACATGTAGGTCTGTTACTTTTGGTTTAAATGTCATTATTCCTTGTGCTTTTGAATTCTCTCTTGCCAAAATTATATTTTAAGAAATCGCTTCATTTATATTACATATACATGACTGTAGTTTGATCATTCGGTCTACTTTATAATGCAGACTTGCTGAAACTATACAATGTATTAGCCTAGTTTTAACAGCCTAATATAATATTGTGCAAATCATAACTATATATTAATTTTGTTACACATGAATGACTTGAGATGTTGAAAAATACATTTATATTTTAGGTAGAGTCTATTTCGTGGCCTGATTACGTAGGTAGAATTTGAAAAATAAGATTTACCTGAAGATTAGAAGTCTTACTTACCCTCTAGAGGTTAGAACACACATTTCAATGAAACCATATCAGCTTTGTTTTGTTCATGATGAAGCATAAGCACAGTACTTGATTGAAATTTGTGTTAATGCTTTTTGGACTTTTTGGAACTACCAATTTTTAACAGTGGACATGTCTTGAAGAAGAAATCAAATCTGGAGCTAATAATTTGGATGTAAAAATTGTTGGTTTTTGCATTTTAATCACTTCTTTACATATTCTTCAGATTTCTCAGCAACGAGTGGATGGATTGCTACCATTTTGGGTAACTTTGCTCTGTAGTGTTGTTTGAATCAGCATGTCGATTATTGAAAGGATTCCTTATGTTTTTACTGGATATAGATCTATCTAACAATCATTTTCTACAAATTTCAGGAAGCATCAACAGCGACCTCCCTTATACTCTTAATAAGCAGTACACACTCATCGGAGGGCTTGCCCGACCCTCCAGACAAGCCCCTGTGGGTTCACAGAATAAAAAATTTGAGTGTAATATATCTAGGGGAAGTCGTCCTATCATCGCACGGGTACTCAGGGAAACTACTGACAATTTCAAATATGATAACTTCAACTTACTTTGAGAATATGAGACGAAAGATCAAACTTTCCTCTAAAATCTAAGTAGTGTTTGACATTTCTCAATCTCCGAACGCTAACACTTTAAGACCCCTTAGACTCGCATGTGCGGTGGTCCTAATTATCGCACAGTCGTCCTAATTATCGCACAGTTATGTTTCAGATGTCATTTCACGATACTGTATACATTTCTCTGTTTATAACAGATACATACATATGCTGTAATCATTTTTCTATCAGTTTTAGTGTAAAATATCAACAAAATATACATTATACACTTACTTTTCTGTCTTTATTTGGAGGGGGTCAAAATTTGTCAGACGAATTTCACTTCTTGCTCAAAAGCATTTATGACAATGGCGGAAGTTAACAATTCTTAAAAAATGAAGAGATATTTCTAAATATATGAATAAATCATGAAGATTGGGAGTTATGGTGTTGAACTGTTTTTCGTAACACTGGTTTAAAAGATGGTGGGTGCATATTTTAGCTATTTAGGACAATCGTGCGATAATTAGGACCGTGCGATAATTAGGACCACTTCCCCTATATCTATAATTCTGGAAGAATAGTAAAACAGAAAAAATAAATGTGTGGGCGATGTAAATAATTTTGAAGCGCTATATTTAAGTAAAATACCTTGTAATTGAGCAGATATTGAATCGTGTTGCTGCTTATTTTTCTCGGCACGCATTTCTGTTTCCTTCAATCGAGTATGAACATTGTGGTAGCTGTAAATGCCAAATATGAAGAATCCTCCGATGCAAATAAAAAGGATTGTGTTTCCCATGGATCCATTACGTCTGTGTAACATCTTGTCAAGTTATCATACTCTCACCTACTCCATAAAATGATATATTCAATCATTTGTAGAAAATTTAGAAAAGTTTAAAAAATCAAAACAAACATGGCGACGTGTCACTGATGCATCCTGGGATCTGCACTGGACGAAACAAAATTGTAGTTCCGGAAAAATGGCCTCTGCTAAAAAACACAGATCCAGAAGAAGAGTTGCTGCATTGAATTTCTTATCTAACATATCACTAGATGGTACACATAATGACACGAATTATTGTATATTTAATAAGAAGGGGATATTTGATCGTAAAACCCAAGCTTCAATTGATGTGTCGCCATTAGAAGACTCTAACAAATTTGAAAAAAATGTTGATGAAAATAATCAAGAAACTGAAAGTGAAACTGCTGCTGATAAGATTGAAAATCAAAAACCAAGTGAACCAGAAAATATATCGAAAGAAATAGAATCAAAACAGTTTGGAGCAGAGAGTGTAGCAGAACTTCCTCATCCTGCAAGATTTAGGTATTCACGATGTTTATTGTTTATTCTAACTCAAAGTGGCTACATTTACTCCCGTCGAGAGCTACCATGTTAGATTTTGAAAGTATAACTCTCTATCGCTAGAATCAACAGCTTAAGAATCCTGACTTCAAAGAAAATTCTGGGGAATTCAGCTGACTCATGACTCGTGTCAAAAGTTTTGGCCAGGTATATTCAACGTAGCCAGGATTTGCCAAGGGGGGGTTCAGTTTTCAAAAATTTCCAGGGGGGGTTCACATTTGACAATTTTGGCCCAAATATGCCCAAAATCACTTGAGAAATGCTCAAAATGGTGAAAAACTGCATGATTTTGAAAGAATTTTTGGCCAGGGGGGGGGGTTCGCCCGAACCCTGCGAACCCCCCCTAGCTACGGGCCTGTTCAATATGGCGGCTTGACGTTTCCCAAGTTGCGCATGCGTCGATAATATTTCCGTTTAACCGCCATATTGGAAATGGGTATCAAACAATGAATTTTAAAAAACGATTAGAACTCCTGATCGCCATAGAAGCACATCAGCGATCCTACATGCACGGGGAAAGTAGACACATATGAGCCCACATGTAGGCTACAGTTTGAGACAAACAGTAAGCCGCTGAATGGCGCTGATCCAATTTAGATGTCACAATTCTTCAGCTGGAGATCCTCACGATGGAGAGCTATACTTTCAAAATCTAACATGATAGCTCTCGACGTGAGTAAGGCTACATGTAACTCAGTCATAGAATCTATGCTAATATCATGGCTTGGCATCATGGACCTCTATCTATAGAGGACCATGGTAATAACTAGAAGAATGATATACTAGTAATCTCTTCAAGACTGAAAACCCCAAAAAATTACAGTTTTTAATCCAGATTTTTATGGTCTTATTTACACAGTGTAAGGATCAAACAACACTCTAAAACCTGCTTTTATTTGTATATTTCACCACACCATCCTGTAAAAATAATACTCTGGTAAAAATCACATCCAGACAGGTTATAAAACTGCATTTAAATCACAATTTACAGTAATTATCCAATCTGTTATTATTATATGGTCTATTATTAAAGGTGCCATGGAAGTTAACAGGAAATGACAAAACAAAAAGTTTCAAAACCATGCTGTATTTTGAAATTTTTTGAACCAAAATGACATAGTTCAGTTTTGACCTCCAGTCAGTTTAACTAGTTCCACATATCATTTACATGACCAGGAACACAATGGAAATGGTCAGAATGACCCTAAACATGATGAAATAACCTTTTCAGCCGTCTGAAAATGTGACTGAAAAATAGCTAAAAGTAGGCGCTTAGGAAAGGTCACTGAACAGAAACTGAAACTAAAATGGCGGTCATAAAAAGGAAAATAGATCGCTTTTCAATTAAGTTTTTTTCATTTTTTTTCTTTTTATATGAATGACATCAACTTTTCAAAATTGTATCATTTAGAGCACTATATTGGGCACTTTTTCTGAAAAATTCAAAAGATTCTGTACAGTGACTTTTCCTAAGCGCCTACTTTTAGCTATTTTTCAGTCACATTTTCAGAGGGCTGAAAAAATTATTTCATCATGTTTAGGGTCATTTTGACCATGAACATTGTGATCCTGGTCATGTAAATGACACGTGGAACTAACTAAACTGACTGGAGGTCAAAGCAGAACTCTGTTATCTTGGTTCAAAAAATTTTCAAAATCCAGCATGGCTTTGTCACTTTTTGTTGTGTCACTTCCTGTTAACTACCACCGCACTTAAGGTGCCATGGAAGTTAACAGGAAATGACAAAACAAAAAGTGACAAACCATGCTGGATTTTCCAAAATTTTTGAACCGAGATAACAGAGTTCTATTTGGACCTCCAGTTAGTTTAACTAGTTCCACATATCATTTACATGCATGACTGGGAACACAATGGAAATGGTCAGAATGACCATAAACATTTTGAAATAACCTTTTCAGTCCTCTGAAAATGACACTGAAAAATAGCTAAGAGTTGGTGCTCAGGAAAGGTCACTGAACAGAATCTTTTGACTATTTCAGAAAATGTGCCCAATATATTGCTTTAAATGATACAATTTAAAAAAATTTGATATCATTTTAAGAAAAAGAAAAAAATGAAAAAAACTGAATTGAAAATCGATCTATTTTCCTTTTTACTACATCCATTTTTGTTTCAGACAATTTTTTAAAATTTCAAAATTGTATCATTTAGAGATTGGACACATTTTCTGAAAAAAAATCAAAAGATTCTGTTCATTGACCTGAAATGAAAAGGTTATTTCATCAATTTAAGGTCCAAACAGAACTCGGTTATCTTGGTACAAAAAATTTTCAAAATCCACCATGGTTTTGTCATTTTTTGTTTTGTCATTTCCTGTTAACTTCCATGGCACCTTAAGTTGAATCACATATTAAACCTTTACAGCCATGTCTTATGTCAGCTTATCTCAAGTTTTTCATAAACTGGCACGCAGTTGAGAATAATCATAAGAATGTTTCTTGTGGCTAGCTGTTTTGCTAAAACTCTGATTTGTATTACTTCCCCCATAAACCAGATATGATTAAAAAGCTGCCAAGGATCCTGAAGAAAATATAGGGTACCATTATCCATTATTTGGCCATTGGGCAAACATTTTCCTAGCATCACTTTCAAGGAATAAGCCACAGAATGTTATTAATATTGAATTAAATATTCCACACATTGATAACACTGACGTTCTGAAAACCCCTAAAAACACAAATGATGTGAAACACATTCTACCTGTAGCTAAATATACTATCAAGAATAAGCTAGGTCGACAGACTTACAAAATAGAGCATTCTTTTGCCAAAATCTGTCAATGTTCATGCAGAGAAATGAATCAATAACAGTGGTTTTAATGGAGAGTGCTGTTTGATCCCTACCTATGATTTAGGTGGACTTGAGAGGTGGAATCTACATGAGTGTATCTATATTATGACTACATGAACAACTGTATGTACATGTACATGACTTTAAAGCGTCATCTCACAGTCTGACCTTCTATTTTAAGTTATAAATCCAAATGTATATCTTAATTTTACTGCTCATGCTCAAATATTAAAAGTGAGGCAGTGGTTTGGCAATCTTAGTAAATTTTATAATAGTCTCAGCCTTGACCCACTTTTGGGGATAACCAGATTTTTATCTCATTTTTGATCGGTTGTTATTTTAATTGATCAGGAAAGGACCATTCTCGTTTTGGATCTAATGAAGTTCATTGGCTTATCTTGACGTTATCAATGTCACCAACAATTTTGATTTTTTACATAGTTAGTTATCTCAGATGTATTGAACAATTTTATTGGTGTCATTGATTTCTTTATAAAGTGGCTGTTCTCCTGCCATCTTTGCAGTACCTAAAACTTGAAATCCTAGTTCATTTAATTATACCCATTTCTTTTGTCACCCATCGTGCCTATGTTGTTTGTCTAATAATGTTTAATGTTAAAGTAAGTACATGATGTATCTTCTACTGTTTACTAATTCTTTTCAACCATTTATTTTTATTTACAGGAGGTAAGCAATTATTTCTCATTGTTGAGTGTCAAGATGGATAGTCTAGTTTTTCTCCATAATTTCACATTTGATTGATTATGATTAGACTGCAATACTCATGTTGTGGCAGTGACTTTTCTATTAAAATCATTCAAATTAGATTGGATACAACTCTTATTCTATACCCAATTAACTTATTACTTGTATATTTTTTTTATTGTTTGATTAATTAAAATTCTCAGGCTTGTACCATGTTGAAGCAAGTAAGCCAAAGAAACAAATGTATTTCACAATTAATGACTATTTCAAAAAATCTTACCCTAGCTCCCCTTAAGCTTTATAGTATACTCATTGTATAGTTTACTATAGTGCCTTGCCCTATTTTGGGAATAAATTAATTTTATCTCAGTACGGGTAAAGCATGAGGTACGAGCCTGGTTGTCTTCAATAGTTTAGAATTTAGATTAACTTACTATATTATTTCCAATGTATTATGGTTTAAGTATGGATTTTATTAAGAGAAGTAGCTTGGTTTAATCATCTTCCTTTAGATACTCTTACCTCCTCCTACCTACACAGAGATTTATTATAACAATATCTCAAACACTGCATAGTAATAACAGTTCACCTCTGTAATGTATTTAAATAATATAGGGTGGTCCAAAAATAGTGAAGCCCTGCAACAGGCTATATTTTCCTTAATACTTGCACAAATAGACTCATATTTTCATATGTTGTAGAGAAAGGTCTAAAATTTTGGTTGATGCCATAATTTAATCTCAGTCTTTAATTTTGAAGAAATTACAAGAGTTTAGCAAACATGACTGAAAATTAGATATTGTGCAAAATTTTACCAATGTGATTCACATAAATTGTTGAAACATATTGGATGATCTTAAACAGCTTTCAGTTAGAGATACAAGTTTAAAACCCTACCATATGACAAAAGGGACACTATTTAAGCAGAAAACACATTTCACACTTTCATTGATCATTTTGAAGCAGTTTTAAACGTTCAACAGTTCAGGGGTATGTTACCTACACCAACAGTTAGAGGAGGGCCTCTTGTGGAAGGAAGTTGCCCCCTGTGACCAGGAATCTGAGTAGCCCTTTATCAAATATCTTTAAAAGATCAAAAGAAATCTAATAATCAATGTTTTGAGCCATATTTCATTAGAATCCGTCTATGATTTATGAAGATATTAACATTTCAAGATCATATAGGGGTATATGTTTGCGATTTCACTGAAAAATGTTATCGTCTATGGAAGCTTAGAACATTTCTTTGGATCACAAGAACTTTGCAACTAACAAAGGTAGGATGCTAGTTTTAAGCCATAATGTGCGGGATTCAAGATTGAACAAAGTGAGAAAATATTAGTTCTTTAAGACTGCAGCTTAAAAAATGTCAGGGGAAGGGTGTTGAAGGGTTGAAGAATCGCGGACATTGAAAATCACATTTTATCCATTTTCAGTAATATTTGGTTAGGGCTTATAATTTCTGCAAATTTGAAGACTAAGAAAAATGTATGGTACCAACATAAATTTTAGACCTTCCTCTACAACATGTGAAAATATAAAATAATTCCTGCAAGTAATAAGGGAAATATGGCCTGTTGCAGGGGTTCACTTTTTTGGACCACCCTGTATAAAAACACTAGGCTTTAGAAAGATATTTTTATTTTTTGAAGGTATTGATCAATATTGGATTAATTAATTAATTAATTTTAGATAGGGTAATTCGGACCATTGAGCAATATGGCTTATTAATATAAAAGCATGATAATGTTTTTGTTAGACTTCTATCAGTCTTCCCAGTTCTGACATAATATTATGTTGAATGTGTTTTATTTTTATTGCTTAGAGAACTTCAAGATTCCAGTGCTATCAGCAAACATGTGAGGTATAAAGCAACCAAATGGTTTAAGAAAAATGTTCTGTTATATCTATATATGGAACAGAAAAACATGTTTGCACTTAATGTTGTATACGATATTTTGTAGTCTTGTATAGCCTCTGGTCCCCAACCCTTGCCTTTTCATCTCCCCAGATTTGTGTAGAGGGGTGCACTGTTGGGGGGGGGGGGGAGGCGCAGAGACTCAATGCAAAACTAGAAATTTGGGTGTCATAGAAAATGAAATATAATTCGTGCAACCATGTCATATGAGTGGCAATTCTTTAGTCAAAATATGTTCTCGCATTTTCATTGTGCAAATGGTGGCAGTTATAGACATCATCTTCAAATAAAAAATGACACGTTTGCATAATATGACATCATACTGTCACATACTATATTTATTATTCCCTGTTATATTCCTCACTTATATTAATGGAATAACAAACTATTGATTATAATTAATCATAACAATCTACTCCTGAGGACACAAATATTTAATTCTATTAATGTGAATACCTGTGCATCTTTCACAAGTGATATTCCACAAAGGGCTAGTGGAATATCCAGGTATTCACCAAAAATAGAATTAAATATTTGTTTTATTATTCACTGTTATATTCATTCCTCACTCATTAATGGAATAACAAACTATAAGAGCTGTCAAGTGTCCCGCGAATGGCGAGATTATCCCATGAATTTGATCAAAATATTTTCGAAACAAATGCGTGATATATACACATATTTTGTACCAAATGCGTGACATAAATGGCAAGCGCGTGCAAAGAGCGAACGAAATGCGTTCGCTTTTTTCGCCTTTCGGTATTTTACCGTGTCGGCATTTCAGTCATATTTTAGATTTTGGCTATTTTCTGAGGATTTAAACAGGTGCATATATTAGGCCAATGCATTATCTCCAGGTAAAGCACTCAGAGATGGTAAAATAATTTCGTCTTTGAGACAGGGGAGATGGAAACAACCCACCCACATGTTTTTTCTGAAATGTTGTCCTGATTTTCAACCCCTTCCACCCCTGCTTTTTAAGTTTTATTGCCTCAATATGTTGCGTTTTCTCCCATGTTATTTTCCCACAGGGAAAAGTCATGCGATCCATTGCTTTCAGCTAATTTTGGTCACCCATAATGGATATCTTTAAAACCCCTGAAGAATTACTTATTCCTTTAAATGGGTTAACTGTGTGTCAAAACACAACATATTAATACAAAAATTGAATAAGCAGGGGAAATAAAAGGGGTTTGAAAATCAGGACATTTCAGGAAAAACATTTGTGTGGGTTGTTTGCATCTTTCCTGTATCAAAGTCAAAATTATTTAGTTATCTCTACTATGAGTGCTTTTCAGTTCTTTTCAGTTTATTCTCCTGGCCTGATAACTCAATTGATATTGGTATTTTTTCATAAATCTGTAATTTATCCAATTTAAGATTTGCACGATTCTTTATATTTTCAATATTGCATGTTTTCAAAGTCTAAAATATTCACATGTTTTAGTACATTTAAAGATGTTATTCACAATTGTGATTTCGGTATACACGTGCATGTACTTATGTTCGAGATATTTCACATTTACACTTTACACCAGTTTGGATCTTGTTCAATCACATCTTATTCATTCCTTTGGTTTGGTTTGAAAATGGTTTGATCTATAAAATCACCAATACTCCTATCAGTAACATGGTGTCACAATACAGCAATACTAATTAACCATTGAATTTATTGTTGCATCATTTTGTTGTTTTATTGATATTTATTTAATCTAATTACATGAAAAATAATCCCTCTTAGTCTCTAAGTCTTTTTTTATTATTTACTTTGCATTTACCTCTGATGAATACTTCTTATTTGTTGCATAAACTATAAAAAACAACATTCCGAATCAATATCTTATCAATGTAACTTATTCTTCTTCTACAGTAGTATTTTTGTTAAAAGCAAGAAAAAAGACCAATGCAGCTAAGCTAAGTAATTATAATGCAACCATATTTGAATGTTTTTGAAATTTGAATTTTGAATTTCATATCTTCCAATTCATAAAAGGTGTCCACTTTCAGGGCTGTGACATATTCAGGGGATAAAGAGAGGTACCACCACAAGAGGAAGCTGCTCCACCAAGCAGGCATCCTTGACACTACTGGCAAAGACAGCCAAGAAAATTTAGGTATAGAGCTGCTTAGAACCATTTTTATAGAACTATTTTTAATGGCTTTATAATCCATTTGGGTAAAAAATTCTCACAAGAATATAAATGAAGAAGTTATTACCAGGTCCCCAAAAAATAAAATTTTAAATTTACAATAATGCTTTAATTGTGCTTAAGATCATGAAATAAGCGCCTGTTGGATGAAATTGCATACATACTGTATATACATATAACATGCATACATACTACCTACAAAAGCTACATCAATTTGATGTCATGTCAAATTTTATACATGTTACACTAGTACATTACGTAAAAATGTAGAAATTGTCTTTTCTGCACAGTATACACTCTGCGTCATGTGCCTACTTGATTATTTTACTTGTAATTATGATATTGAAATAAATATAACATAACATAATGTTTTCATGAAAAATATTTTCTAGTTACGCGACGTAGAAGACGTCACTCTAGTTCACAGTCTACCAGTTCAACAGATTCAACAGTAGCACCAAGTATAACAACTAAAAAGGAAGTGAGATTTCTTACAAGCAAAGACAGAATCAAACATGAGAGGTAACAATATCGGGCAGATTCATTTTAGTCTTGCATCAAGCCTTTGTTACTTTCACACTTACTGGAGATTGGAGATGAGGTGAAGGGATCCAGAGACCTGATGCAAGACAAAGGGGAAAGTGGTGTCATAATGTTGGTCTGAGTGTGACAAAGTATATTTGTGGTTTTACGAGTAGTAAGAATGGTGAAATTTGCTATCGCAAGAGCTGAATGGAAGTTAGGTATTGTCTACCATTTTTAAGATATGAATATGTCTGGTGACTGTTCATATTGCACATATAGAATACTGATGTGTGAATTTCCTCGTGTACTAAAGAGAATTGCTTTTCATATCTCGTTATATTAACACTTGGCATGATGGTTTCAGATTGCCTTAAATGTAGTGATAACTGCGTGTCATTTTATTATTACATGTGTATCATACACATAATTGTGGCGTTATCTAAGTTGTTATCAGGCATTTTTCTACTAAACACTGCACAACCAAAACCCTGATGGGGTTAGGGCTAAAGAATGCCTTGAGAGATGCAATTACAGAATTATGTCTACATGAAATTAGTAGCAACTGGCATAAATACTCCATATTAAGAATATCGCAAATGCATTTCTCTTTGGCAATATCTTACTGCCCAAATGAAACATTGTTGTAGCTGTGTTGTGTATCATTATATACTTACATTTTAGGAAAGCCTTTGAAATACTAACGATACTTTATGTTTTGTTGTTCAGGTTTGTTGTTTTGTCACATAGAAAGGCACCATTGGCCGTGTGTTCAGTCCTGCCTTATAACAGACGTCATGCTTACGGAAGGCCCAAGTATGTATACCCTTGACATCATATTATGATAGGGCTACTTCATGGGAAAAACCTGACAAATATTGACTGATTAATAATAATATTAGTACTTCATCTATAGCTATGTGTATAGACCCAATAGTCTTTTTTTAAAAGAGGTTTGAAAAGAATATGTGCTCAGTAAGAAGTCATAGTTTATTTAGTATAGTATAGATATGTTGTTTACAGTTATCAGTGACATATTGTTATTGTCTCCAACTCTTTTGTGGATGGTGTTCGGTGGTCGGCATTCAGCAGCCATAACAAATGGAAGGTGGTGACATTTTGCATGTTAATGCCTTGTCTCACAAGCAGTCAGTGATGTTAGTTTTTTCATGCAAAGCGCTCCATCTTTTTATCAGATGTATTCTTATATTTCCAATCAACAGTGGGATTGCATGGCTTTTCGATAACACACGGGGTAGCTTGCATATGTTTTGCATCCTCCCATTCCTGCCAATGAGTCTGTACAAAAGTTATTTTTAGTTGGGTAAAATGATTTTCAGTTTATATTTTCTACATGTGCATATTTTGAAATTGTTGCCTGGATTTCATATTTGCTATGTACATGAACTATAATAGCCTGATACTTTACAATGCATATATGGCACATTTTTGGAAATCTTGTTTCTTAAATCTGAATTTTAGATAGAATAATAAATACGATTATTAAGATGATGGAAATGAGGAAAACTCTTTTACTTAAAGATGTAAAGGATGTGTCCGGGTATATGCACTTTTGGTCCCTCGGTCAAATGTATGTGAAATATGTTTTTTATTATATTTACTTTTTCTTGAGTTTTGATGCATAAGCATTTGCTGAGAGTCAGAATAAGTATCTTAACAACAAAAAAATAGTCATTATCATAGAAAAAACACCAGTGGCAACATGTATGACATACAAAGAAGAAATAACTTAAGACCCATGAAGAATTAAAAAGAAAAACAAATTTTTGAAATATATTTAAGGATTAAATTTTTTTTCAAATTTTTGAATTTCCCGCCAGTTTAATTTGAAGGGAGAAAAACAAGATGGTTGCCATTTGATGTAAGAAATATCAGAAAAAAAGTTGCTTCACTTTTAGTTTTCACAATGAGCACAGTTTTCCGGTTTAGGTTTTTTGACTGATTCTGACTCTTCATCACCAGGGTCATGTATAGAGATTATAAAATTGAAATCAAAATGTTGTGCTCAGCATGAATTTGACTGAAATAATATGTGTAACTTCACCAACACAATTGAAGTCTCAAAACTGGATGCTCAGTAACTTTGAGTGACTATAATCCCTTGATTACCCAGATATACACCAATTCACTTATCCAGAAATACCATTTAATGTCTATACAAAGAAAGTAACCAATGTTTTGGCAGATATGTTTCAAACATTTTGCATAAATAATTCATTTAATATTTGCCATTGATTTTTTTTCAATAGTATAGTTTCTAAATAGCTAAATAAAGCTGAATAAAGCTGACATAATAGATGTCACCTTTGTACATCTTGGGCCAACCTTCCATTGAGTTCTATGCTAAAAGCTAATTGCAATAGTCACTTAATTTCATGATTTATCAAAGAGTGTCAGTTAAATCTGTCTGAAATTTGGATGGCATACTATTAAATGACCCTGTCAATGATTATATTGTGATTAAATATGAAAATGTTGGTTGTCATACGATCAAACCATGGTTTTAAAGAATTTTAGCATAACATCAATGGAGATTTGGCCCAAGTTTTTTAAAATGCCATGGAGAATGATTTAAATGGCATAAATGTTCAAACCAAAGCTATTATTGTAGGAAACATATCAATGAATTCAAATATGCTATTAAAAAGAAAGAAAAGTAAGTCATTAGAGGTAAAATGTGCAAATCTCTTAAAATCTCATGAAAAAACAAGAATTAGCGAGATTTCAAAATCATTTAGAAACTCCTCTAATAGAGGACAAAGTGATATGCACTGTCTTTTATGCCAATATTTTTCATCAATTGTGATACAAATTGATAGTTTGGTAATCTCAGAAGAAGTTTAATAATATGTGTGATTGAGTTGGTTTTTCAGACATTACAATTTTCAATATTTTCTAAGTCGATACCTAGACTCATTCCCAGACTCATCCTTTAAGAGCAAAAATGGGTCCAAAACTTAATAACTGTGTAGTTTGGATGTTCATTTATGTCTGTGGATTATATTTTATACCACAAACACTTTATACATACCTGAAATTTGCAATAAAAGTGCCCAAAAAATGTTGTTTTGAAATTCCCCATTTTTCCTGTATCGCGCTAGTCACGTGACCATTAGTCACTTACTTTTACAGTGATATGGTCTACGATAGATCAAAATTAAATTCAAGATGTTTCAATTTAAAATGCCCTCGCAAGACGAGGTTGAAATATCGGCAATTTGATGGTGATATGGTCTACGATAGATCACGTGACCCTAATATTTTTTAAAAAATGAAAGAGATAGTGACAATATTTAATCTTATTAGTTAATACCAATATTACAAACACATATCTATATTTTCATTCTATATTTATTTCTTCATTATACATACATTTGTTTTATACTTCATTGATTCATTTTTGCAATACTTTTGCTATTAGATCTTTAATACAGTGAGGCTCCCAGGACTTGAATGCATCAAAGTAAATGTAGAGTGATTTGATCATATGTTGATGGAGAGTTAATTTCTATACTTTATTCCATGCCATGATAGGTTTGGAAGTAAGGGACTTTGTTCTTTTTGTGTGGTCCAATACTTTGATCTTACATTTTTAAATTTATATTTCAGAGTGACTCATCCTAGACTTGTCCAATCAGAAACTGCAAAGAGTAGACACACCTCTACTACTGTAGACATCTTCATACACTCTGCACAGCCACTTGAAGGACAGGTAAGCATCTGTATTGGAGAATATTCTTGTTAGTAATAAATGAGATGTTTTAATCATTATATTGTTTCTTTGATACATGGAATAAGAAAGAGTGATGCAAAAACCAGGTACAGTGTATCATGATTCTCTATCAACCTGGTACTGAACTTTCATCAGGATTTTGATACACTTATTATCTAGAGAGGCTTTTCCAGGTCTCCTATTTTTATTATGTCACCACCAAAAGTGGTGACATATTGTTATAGTCTCCGTTTTACCACCAAAAGTGGTGACATATTGTTATAGTCTCCGTTTTTTTGCGACGGCGGTTGGTGGTTGGCGTCCGGCGGTTGGCGTCCGGCGGTTGGAGGTTGGCGTCCGGCATCTGTAACAATTTCTTACAACTTCCTATAACTTAACAAATACTGTTTAGACTGACTTCAATTTTTTTCTAAATCATCTACATGTTCTCAGAAGTTCAAATCTGACTTTAGATTTGACATTTGACCTTCGATGACCTTCTCAAGGTCTAAAAGGTCTTTTTTCAACTTGCTTCACATTGACTAAATTTTTTTTCAAAATCATCTACATGTTCTCAGAAATTCAAATCTGACTTTAGATTTGACATTTGACCTTCAAATGTGACTTTAGATTTGACATTTGACCTTCAATGACCTTCTCAAGGTCAAAAAAGGTCAAAAAGGTCTGTTTTCAACTTGCTTCAAATTGACTAAATTTTTTTTTCAAAATCATCTACGTGTTCTCAGAAATTCAAATCTGACTTAAGATTTGACTTAAGATTTGACATTTGACCTTCAATGACCTTCTCAAGGTCAAAAAGGTCTGTTTTCAACTTGCTTCAAATTGACTAAAAAAAATTTTCAAAATCATCTACGTGTTCTCAGAAATTCAAATCTGACTTTAGATTTGACTTAAGATTTGACATTTGACCTTCAATGACCTTCTCAAAGTCAAAAAAGGTCAAAAAGGTCTTTTTTCAACTTGCTTCAAATTGACTAAATTTTTTTTTCAAAATCATTTACATGTTCTTGGAAATTCAAATCTGACTTTAGATTTGACATTTGACCTTTAATGACCTTCTCAAGGTCAAAAAAGGTCAAAAAGGTCTGTTTTCAACTTGCTTCAAATTGACTAAAAATTTTTTTCAAAATCATCTACGTGTTCTCAGAAATTCAAATCTGACTTTAGATTTGACTTAAGATTTGACATTTGACCTTCAATGACCTTCTCAAAGTCAAAAAAGGTCAAAAAGGTCTTTTTTCAAATTGCTTCAAATTGACTAAATTTTTTTCAAAATCATCTACATGTTCTCAGAAATTCAAATCTGACTTTAGATTTGACATTTGACCTTCAATGACCTTTTCAATGTCAAAAAAGGTCAAAAAGGTATTTTTTCATCTTGCTTCAAATTGACTAAATTTTTTTTCAAAATCATCTACATGTTCTCAGAAATTCAAATATGACTTTAGATTTGACTTTAGATTTGACATTTGACCTTCAATGACCTTCTCAAGGTCAAAAAAGGTCAAAAAGGTCTTTTTTCAACTTGCTTCAAATTGACTAATTTTTTTTTTCAAAATCATCGTCTACATGTTCTCAGAAATTCAAATCTGACTTTAGATTTGACATTTGACCTTCAATGACCTTTTCAATGTCAAAAAAGGTCAAAAAGGTATTTTTTTCATCTTGCTTCAAATTGACTAAATTTTTTTTCAAAATCATCTACATGTTCTCAGAAATCCAAATATGACTTTAGATTTGACTTTAGATTTGACATTTGACCTTCAATGACCTTCTCAAGGTCAAAAAAGGTCAAAAAGGTCTTTTTTCAACTTGCTTCAAATTGACTAATTTTTTTTTTCAAAATCATCTACATGTTCTCAGAAATTCAAATCTGACTTTAGATTTGACATTTGACCTTTAATGACCTTCTCAAGGTCAAAAAAGGTCAAAAAGGTCTGTTTTCAACTTGCTTCAAATTGACCAATTTTTTTTTCAAAATCATCTACATCTTTTCAGAAGTTCAAATTTGACTGTACAAGTTCTCTTAAGTTTGAACTCATAATATTGTGAACAACTAGGTGGTGACATTTTGTCATGTTAATGCCTTGTTCCTATTGAAAGGATAGGTATCGATATGGTGAACTGGATTAAACAATGTTTTTCTCTTAAACCAATTATTGAAAACATTCTGTAAAAAACACAGTCCTTTATGTAATGTTGATTGATTGTCAACAATTTAATGCGAAAATTATTTACATATATTTTATATTACTGTTTTTGTTAACATTTTTTGTTTTTTGTACAAATGTTTTTTGTTCCTTTCTACCAATTTTTGAGAATGAAAAAAATGTCTTTCCGACCTTGTTGGAACAAAATAGCATATGAAACATTTTCTTAGGCCTGTCAATATTATAGTTATACAAAGGAAATTTTTGTTGATTTTACAAAAAGTATTCAAAAATTAAAACAAACCCCCCCAAAAAAGATAAAAATTAAGATGAATCTTTCATTTCATTAACAAGATACTTTTTTTAAATCAACCAAACTTTCCTTTCAACTATTATAATATTGAGAGACCTAAACACTTTGTGTTTATGTTGTTTTGTTCCAATGAGGTTCGGATAGATGTTTCATTTCATTCCGAACATATGATACCAAGAACAAACAAAAGAAGTGTCTGATGTGTTTTCTAAAACAATATAGAGAAAAGTATACTATTCTAGTATATATTTTTTTCAAATTTTATTCTTACCATTCAAAAATGACCATTACATTGACGATGTGTAAAATTTTCAGAACTTTTCGATGATTGGTTTAAGAGAAAAGTGTGCTCAAAAAGTTCACCATAACGATACCACTCCTTTGCCAAAGAGGCCAGTTTTGATGTTAAAGGATTGGTATCGATATGGCGAGCTGAATTGAACACATGTTTGTTTCTCTTGAACCAGTCATGAAAAAATTCTGAAATTTTTATTCATCGTCAATCTAATGATCATCTTTTGAAAGGTAACAGTTTAATTATTAAAAAAAATATATACTTTTCTCTATATTGTTTTAGAAAATGCATCAGACACTTCTTTTGTTCTTGATATCGTATATTCAGAATGAAATGAAACATCTATCCGAACGTCATGGGAACAAAACGACATATACACAACGTGTTTAGGTCTCTCAATATTGTAATTGTACATAGGAAAGTTTACTTTAATTCTTATCTGTTTTTGGGGTTTTCTTTTAATTTTTTAAATACTTTTTGTTAAATCAACCAAACGTTTCTTTATATAACTATAATATTGAGAGGTCTGAGAAAATGTTGTATGTTATTTTGTTCCAACAAGGTTCGGAAAGATATTTTTCATTCTCAAGAATTAGTAGAAAGGAACAAAAAACAATTGCACTAAAAATCAAAAAATGTTCATATTATACACTTTTTAGAACCCATCATTTGTTTTTTGTATACTGCAGGATGTATCATATAGTACATACTTGGTGCCCTCCAAGGATTCTATGGTACTGCCCCCTGGGGATCTTAACACAAGGTCTTTATGCCCTGATAGTGCAACAGTCCTTGCAGGGCAACATTCACCAGGTAAATAAGAATGGATTTAATTGATATCACATTAATTTCTTGATTCTCTGCACAAGTTGTCTGTCGCTACAGAGCTGTATGTAAATATTAATGTTAAAACTTGTTTCTCTTGTTGAACTTGATTTTCTTGGTGACTTTGACTGGTGTTTATCTGTGTTGTAAAAACACATGTACTCGTATGTGCTTCATTAATTGAAATGGCAAAGCAATCTTAGAAAACAAAAAGGAAACATTTGATAAATGCTAGTTCACATAATAGACTAGCTGCAAATTGAAATAATTTTAATTTACATCATCAAATATTCAAAATTGATATCACATTTGAAAATGGGTAGGTTCCCCAGAGATGTTATAAAATCACAAAAGTGAAAAAAAAATTCTGTTGGACAGATAATGTTTTCTTTTACTGGACATATTTTAATTTGTATAACTATCAGACACAGAAGGGTTATATGAAAATTGATCTACTTAAACTTCCTACTATATCTGCCATGTTATCTGACCCGAATTAGCCACCTGGTGGTAGAACTAGTCACTACCTACTGGCATCTGGGTTATTGTTATGCTTCATTCATTTGTAATTGCAGCTATAGCATTATTATCAACCACTACTGTAGTTCCAATACAGGGGTCAAGTAATGATGCTAGAGTGGCCAATCCAGTTGTGCCAACAGTTGTAAAATGTAAGTATAGGGACACTCATCCAGTCCTCTACTCTGAAGATATGATTATTAGTGCTAACATGTTTGATAATTAAGGTGGGTCAATTAATAGGATGATTTTAGTCCTGTTTGCATATTACATCTCAATGAACTTATACTGTACCAGCCTAAATTCAATTTCTTTGTTCATACCAATCATTCAGTTATAATATTATTTATCTATGATGATAATGTATTAAGGGTTATGATGCCACTATATTAACATTTAACACAATGGTTCAATTTTCTGCACTAATATGGGCCTAGCATAGTAGGGTAACTTTTGGCTGATGTTGGCTAATTTGGAATTTGCGTAATATATATTCTATATACTCTAGGTCTAGTAATTCCACATGCCCTACCTTTAGAATCCATTGTAACAGATGTTTGAAAATATTGATTGTTTTTCAGCTCTAGAGTTGGAACAAGTGAAGGATTTACCTTATCATCCCAACTTGTTAGATGATCCTGAGTTCACATCTGGTAAACATAGGACCCTCATGACATTCTCCTCATACATGGTAAGTGTTGCGGCTTAAAATTTCACTTTGATTGAAGACATCTATTCCAACTGATGAATTGCATCACCAAAATTTGAAGCCAGTCACGTGTGCTTATGTTTTGACAAATGTGCTTAAATTTTGACAAATGTGCTTATGTTTTGACAAAATCTGGAATGATCAATGATTTATTGTTTTACAGACATCTGTAATAGATTACGTGAAGCCATCGGATCTAAAAAAAGATCTGAATGCTAACTTCAAGGAGAAGTTCCCCTACATACAACTTACACTTAGCAAACTCAGGAGCCTTAAAAGAGAATTGAAGAGAATTGCACATGAGAAGGTTTGTTAACTTTTTACTGGAAAAATCTTTAGTATGATGTTTTTTAAAGTCTTCTATCAATACTTCTCTCCCTCCAACTATCTATTGTGCAAAAGGTGTGAATGGTGAAGCCCAGGTGCTCACAAAAGCTAGATATGACCCAAAATTGTATAAAAGCATTGAAACCACCAATAGCATTAACTACATGTACTGTATAAGTACATGGAGAATAACGCATCTGAAAATTACATCTGGGATTCATTATCTATATTTCAGTGTGGCCTTGATCTGTGGACAGTTAGCCAATCATATGTGCTTTTTGAGAAACTCATACTTAAGGTAAGATATTAATATGAACATGTGGTAGTTTGATGTATGCAGTCTTTTAGAGAGTTTATTATGCAGGCTCCAATTAAACAAAGTCACTAATGAGGATTGCGTTTGTTGAGTATATGTGGTAAATTATTCTTGACTCATTTCTTATTACAGGGTATGATAGGGAAGTTGAATCGTAAACTCTGTGCTGGAGCATGTCTGTTACTCTCTTCAAAACTAAATGATGTCACTAAAGGACCAACTCTCAGCAAACTTATTGAGGTAAGGGCTCATCAAACTACGTCCTGAACATTATCCATTTTAAAAATTACTGGATAACCTATCCACATGCTGTACAATCTTTTCTAGAGGTCCAATTATTTCCAAAATTAGAAATACAGCAAATCAAGTTAGCAGGTCTGACCCCAGAAATATCCAGGATTTTGTATTTGTTAAACATGCAAGTGTAAACAATTGCATGGACAAATATCTACCTAGGGCTCTTTAATGTTTAGGAAAATCCTGTCAGGGGCATTGTACACATCCACCAAACCCTATGATCTACGATTCAGTCATGAATATGGAGAGCTGGAATATACATGTATGTTTCTTGATTTCAGGAGATTGAGACACGATTGAGAGTAAACAGGAAAGACCTACTTGCTTATGAGTTCTATGTCTTTGTGGCCCTAGAATTCAGCTTATTGGTGCCTGATCATGAAGTCTATCCCCACTACAGACGTTTGGTCTACCAGAGTTCATAGCACAAGAACAGTGTAATTAGTGTTCCTGATCATTTTCATCCCCATCAAGTTCATCCCCATTATGGAACAGAACGTTTTTGAAAATTGATGCGGAAGTACGATGTATTTATAAATGGTTGCCATTTAGAGTGCCAAATTATACTAGTCCAACATAATGCTTAATGAAACATGTTTAACAGTAATATGTGTAAAAGGTAGGCTATATGTAGTATATAGTGAAAGAGATATACTCTACACTTTGTCATTGTGTGGACTGGAACTGAAGAAACATAAGGTCATGAATACATGTATTATACTTATGTAGCATTGTTTATATGTAGTTGAGTCAATGGTTTTGTATTTTTACACTTCCTGAAAGTAAATTCAATTTTTGATTGTAAACAAAATAAAAAATGACCACAAAATCTGATTTCATATTTATGTGAATTTACACTTATTATTAATAACTACATTTTCTATTTCCTCACTACATAGATCGGGACCATAAGTAGCCCTAAAAACTGTTTAAGATATCAACTTCAAATTTTCTTGGATAACTTTGGGGTACACACAAGCGTATCTAGTGTGCGCGGCCCCCTCTAAGATTTTTCAAAAAAATAATACTTTTTCAAAAATCCAATGAAATACCAGTTATCGTGTTAACATTTATCTCATGGGCATAGGGCTATATTTTGAGTTGGTAAGCATACTCAGGGATGCCTAATTGTGTGGCCGAAGGCCCCGCATCGTGGGGGGATTTTGGACAGTCATATGTTTGATTTTGGCCATTTTCTAGTGATTTAAACAGGTGCATATTATGAATTATAAAAAATATGAACAGGTGCCAATGCATTACCTCCAGGAAAATCACTTCTAGAGATAATAAAATAATTTCGACTTTGAGACAGGGTAGATGCAAACAACCAAAGGAATCGCTTATTCCTTTTAAGGGATTAACTGTGTGTCAAAACGCAACATATTGATGCAAGAAAAATTAAAAAAGCAGGGATGGAAGGGGTTGAAAATCAGGAAAAACATGTGGGTGGGTTGTTTGCATCTACACATATTGAGTGACTGACAGCAGCCATACACAATGGACCTCATACACACATCGAGTGACTGACAGCAGCCATACACAATGGACCTCATACACACATCGAGTGACTGACAGCAGCCATACACAATGGACCTCATACACACATCGAGTGACTGACAGCAGCCATACACAATGGACCTCATACACACATCGAGTGACTGACAGCAGCCATACACAATGGACCTCATACACACATCGAGTGACTAACAGCAGCCATACACAATGGACCTCATACACACATCGAGTGACTGACAGCAGCCATACACAAAGGACCTCATACACATATCGAGTGACTGACAGCAGCCATACACAATAGACCTTATACACACATCGAGTGACTCACAGCAGCCATACACCAAGGACCTCATACACATATCGAGTGACTGACAGCAGCCATACACAATAGACCTTATACACACATCGAGTGACTGACAGCAGCCATACACAATGGACCTCATACACATATCGAGTGACTGACAGCAGCCATACACAATGGACCTCATACACATATCGAGTGACTGACAGCAGCCATACACAATGGACCTCATACACACATGGAATGACTGACAGCAGCCATACACAATGGACCTCATACACACATCGAGTGACTGACAGCAGCCATACACAATGGACCTCATGCACACATCGAGTGACTGACAGCAGCCATACACAATGGACCTCATACACACATCGAGTGACTGACAGCAGCCGTACACAATGGACCTCATACACACATCGGGTGACTGACAGCAGCCATACACAAAGGACCTCATACACATATCGAGTGACTGACAGCAGCCATACACAATGGACCTCATACACATATTGAGTGACTGACAGCAGCCATGGTTCACAACGGACCTCATGCACACATTGAAAGGTTGACAGGAGCAAAAAAAACTGGCGTGACTGCAAATTTTCCAGCAAATGAGTGACAAATATGCAAATTGCGGGACAGTTGGATGGCCTGCAGCTGAATGGCTTCACACGTATAGTGCCAATATAAATGAACACAATGCCTGGATCTCATTTACACAAAGAATGGCCCAATAGGCCTCATACACATAAAGAATGACCAATGGAGCTGAGCACAACGGACCACATTGACACCTAACCTCACTCACATACATGTTTTCGTTTAGTGTAACTCAGCTAGATAGTCTCAAAGCTATTAATTTCAATACATAATACGATTGTATCACCATGTATATCCAATATGACTCCTCATTTAGATAGTGACCTTAATATTTAGTTATCCTAAGGATAGTTCTTCCACATCACCACGCTCCTAACATAAGAGATAAGAAAAAATTTTGACAGAAAAAATTTCAAAATGGCATGATTTTGTTTAGATTTCCGTGGCTTGACTGGGTAGAAGCATACGTATTCAAGTTGGGTATAATTGTCATATACCCTGGATAAGGTAACAACAAACAAGGACGAGGATAAGGCTCAGACAGCCGCCCAAGAACCGTCTGAAATGCCGAGGTTCCGAGTTCCTGTTTTCATATCCAAATTTAATGTTGTGGTGCGTATCGCACTGAAGTTAGTGGTGAAATTCTGGCAAATGTGCACGACTGGGATGCTCATACTACTGCTGCTTTATTGGCTGTATGGCAGCCTTGTGGCATTTGGTTTACTCTGGGCTGCAATGATAGGTGAGATAATTTCTTCTTTACGACAATATAGACCCAGAGTCGGGTCAATCTGCAAGAGGGTTGGGTTTTTCTTGGTTCGGTTATTCATTAATGGAAGTATTTCATTCCCACGGTACAAATTACTTTTCTGCGATCAATTCCGTAAGTTAGGTTCAGTTATTTTCTGGTACAAAATAAAGTATGAAGGCATGGTGTCAATTTCCTTGCTTTTTTCAGGAAAGTATCATTACATTGTCTTCTTTAAGAATATCTAGTAGACGTTCAATGGGAACTCCAGGAAATTCTGATATTTCACACTTTCTATTTTTTCCAAATTTTCTTTCAAAGTTTCCAGACAACACAGGAGCTACCATTGACCTGTTTCCAGGTTTAGAACCCCTGTTTTCAATGATTTGTTTTTACAAAAGCAAAATCCCTTGGAGTTTTAGTAAGTTATGGCGGTGTTAAACAGGGGTCCTTTTATGAGCAAAACTCCTATCAAAAATCCAATTCAGAAATTCAATATGATATGCTCTCTTTAAGGAATAAAGACCAAGATTTATGATTTATGGCGTAATATATGACCAAAAATTTTATTCTGTTCATTGTTGAAAGACCGAAATCGCGTAGCTGAACAATTGACTAACTGAAACTGATAGGCAAATCTGACTTAAGAAACTGAGTACTGAGTAACTAAAAAATTGACTAGGTACCAAAGTCTTAAACCGACTTCATAACTTCAAAAAACTCCAAGCGATTTTCTTTAAAAAACAGGAATCAGTAGAACAATATCAATACTAAAGATTCCAAGTAATAAAAATAAGGGTTCTTCAACAGGGCATATTTCTGGATTTCTAGGGGTTTTGGTTACTACTACAAGTAGTAACCAAAACTGCCATTGCTGAGATATTCACAATCAATTCCCTCGATTAGGAAACGAGGGAAAGTACTCTCCTCATTTCTTTGAGAAACGTTCCTCCCAACTGGTGTTTCCTTCATTTAAAAGTTTAAGTTGCAGTATCAGTTTAGCTAAAAACTTATATCGAAAGCTCTCTATTAACCACGTATCTACTTTACCAGTATGTCCTCCAGGAATTGTAACATTTTGTTTGGCATCTGTAACAAATTCTTCCAACTTTCAATAACTTAACAAGAATTGTTTAGACTGCCTTAAATTTTTACTGTGAACATTGTAAACATGTAATGAGTTCCAACACATTTCGCCAATATCTGTTACCATGGCAACAAATAAGGGAACTTGTAATATTTGTAACCACTTGCAATTGATTTAAGAAGTAGTATTCACATGGACCTGAAATTTTTATTGTCAGCACATGTAGACATGTCATGACTTTTAATATATTTTTGCAGTTTCAGTTTTAACATATTTTTGCAGGTTCAGTTTCAGCATGGCAATGAATCTATATGTTACCATGGATGTGACTGTTTGGGGTGCCACTTTTGTAACCATTGCAATAACTAATTTGGTGGTAACATTTATTAATGTTAATGCCCTGTTCCAGGACTTGCTTACAATGCCCAAGACATGTTGCTATACTATCCTGATCAGCCCTCCTCTTCAAGGTTCTTTGTTGAGTCACCTTCCACATTCGGGTTACCATATGAGAACCTGTTTGTAAGAGCTAAGGATGGTGTTCTCTTGAACTTGTTGTTAATTAAACAACCAGGACCAGAGATTATGAAAAAAGCACCAACATTTGTTTATCTCCATGGTAATGCAGGAAATGTTGGCCACAGGTGAGAAATAAATCATTCTCTGAGTAACTTCCAGTAGTATTTATAAGATATTGACATTTGGTACTTTGAATGATGCAATATGATAACAGTTATATATATCTAGAGAGAGAGAGAGAGAGAGAGAGGGGGTAAAATTATGCCTTTTACATAATTTTCATTATACTGTTTATATCATTTGCCATGTTCTGTTTCATTTGTTCTGTTTCATTTTTCATTTGGTACTATTTGTCTCTGTCCTATTAGCACCATATTGTTATTATCCCACCGAACATAGTTTGTAGGGATATAGAGAAGTCATCCCTCTGTCCATCTGTGCATTCAATTCTTTGATAAGTCATATACGAGTTGATGGATTTGGTTCAAATTTTATATGCTGATCATTAGGAACAAAAGCGCTCTGCTTAAAAAAAGATTTTCAAAATATCCACCAGTAGACAGAAGAGTTCTGTTCAAGAAAAATGTTCAAGATTGCTGTTATTTATCAAAACCTGTTTTGTTTAATGGGATTTGCTACTCCGTTGAGTTGCTGTTTTCTAGGGTCTGAGGTACTTTGCTTTCAGGTTATACAATAGTCATGGCTTACACAGAAATGTCAGGGTGAATATACTGCTGGTTGAATATAGAGGTTATGGCAAGAGTGGGGGAGTGCCAAGTGAATCAGGTATACAAAATTTGTTAATCCATTATGAGTGATGTAATATCCTAGATTTATGTATGCATTTATGTATGGAATTGTCTTCTAAAAGATTTAATTAAATATTATTATTATTTACTCATATGTATTCTTTATACCAACGATCTAAGCTCAGTAAGGATATTGAAGCCCTCAGTCTGTCCATCTGTCAGGGAAATAACTTGAATACTAGTGATTGGATTTTTTCATATTTGGTAGAAAGAAAAAACGCAAAAAAAACTTTTTCAAGATGGCATCAGTTGAATGGAGGAATTTTTAGAAAGGAATGGTATCGATATGGTGAACTTTTTGAACACACGTTTCTCTTAAACCAGTCATCAAAACATTCTGAAAATTGTACACATTTTCAATTTAATGGTCATCTTTTGGATGGTAACATTATAATTTTAAATATATATATATATACATGTACATGTACTTGTAAACTTGGTGCCAAAATAATTGCAAATCACATTGTTCGCTTCCAATTGTACCCATGAAGAGAATTGGGTGTGAGAAAGCTACAGGAATTTTTATATGGTTTCTTTGGAAACACAACCAGGACTAGTTGCTACTATGGTAACATGCCTTTGCTTTTTTTTGATTTAAGGTCTAAGCTTTGATGCTGAATGTGCAATAGACTACTTGTACTCAAGGAGTGACATAGACCATAGCAACATCATACTGTTTGGACGGTCTCTAGGTGGTGCTGTAGCTATATCTTCTGCTGTGCATCCAACATACTCTAATAAACTTCGGGCAATAATTGTTGAGAATACATTCACATCTCTGCCAGATATTGCACGATATATATTTGATTTTAAGTTATTAAAAGCAATACCTGTGTGGATGTATAAAAATAAGGTAATTATACTGTAGTTACATTTTTTGAGTTAAGTTAGTTTAAAATTCAAAATAGCTGCCTAGAACTGGAATTCCTTATAATTTAGAGATCTGTTCAAAGCATAGTTACATTATATTACATTAGATTACAAATATTGTATTGTTGTCTTTATGATTGAGCCTTTGGTACAGATATTTACCCAAATGCATAAATTGGTGGAAATGTCTCAGTCTACATTGTCTCCCTTCTATTACCTGCAAATTACGGGTAGAGTAGATAGTAAATATTATATTGTAATATGTATAGATTCATGAATGGTGTAATGCTCCTTCCCATACTAAATCTTGTCTTTCACTTTTGGATTTCTGAAAAGATTAAAATTCTTTACCATGTAATTGTCATTTACCATTCCCCTAATGAAATTAACTCTTATTCCACAGCTTCTGGCATTTGGACACCATCCCTTATATAGGCATCTTACTGATTAAATAATCTGATTTTCAATATCAATGATACACTTTTACAAGCCACCTTTATGGACACTTATAACCGCACTCAGGCAACTAGTAGAATATAGGTGCTCCATACACCATCAAGTGTACATATCTGCTACATGGGCCAAGGAATGCGATGACTATGAACATTGAACAACATGTCTACTTTTAGTATCCATCAAGAGAGAGGGTGAAACAAATGGAGCTACCAATGCTGTTTATCTCAGGTCTTTCAGACAATCTTATCCCTCCATATATGATGCAAGATCTATTTGAGGTAAGACACACATACATCCATTTATGATGCAAGATCTATTTGAGGTAAGACACATATACATCCATATATGATGCAAGATCTATTTGAGGTAAGACACACATACATCCATATATGATGCAAGATCTATTTAAGGTAAGACACACATACATCCATTTATGATGCAAGATCTATTTAAGGTAAGACACACATACATCCATTTATGATGCAAGATCTATTTAAGGTAAGACACACATACATCCATATATGATGCAAGATCTATTTGAGGTAAGACACACATACATCCATATATGATGCAAGATCTATTTAAGGTAAGACACACATACATCCATTTATGATGCAAGATCTATTTGAGGTAAGACACACATACATCCATTTATGATTGTTACAGTAGTGAGCTACATATATATTATATTCTACTATATTCACCTATAGTTTAATTTGTAATCTATGCTTGCTGTATATGTTGAGCTATTCTTCATTAGAGATCTTAGGTCAAGGTCACAATGACATTATACACTGTATCTTGTAAACATAACTGAACTGAATGACTCATTAACTCTTGGCCTTCTAGAAAGTACTGGAACTGTAATCATTTAATCAAGATTGAATCATGTGACTTAAGATGTCCAATCAGTGTTATTTTCTAGAAAAAGTAACTTCTTGAAGCATCTGGACTATGCCTTTGCACTATATAATGAGAGAGATGATTTGGGCTGTCAGCAGAATTTCAAAGTTGATCAAAAGGACATCTTCTTAGCAGAAAATTACAGACACCTACTTTGGGAACATTTATAACAGTGCAAACATACAACCTGAGGACTTTATATGGACATATATTACAACACTCACTATATACGGATTATCATATACATTCGTGGATTATCATAAACATTTGTGGATTATCATCAAACATTTGTGGATTATCATCAAACATTATTGGATACGAACATTATAGGATTACAACAAACATTATTGGATTATTACAAACATTGGAGAACTATGAACGATTATTGAAACATTTCGTGATCTGGAACATTCTCAAGGATCGTCAACGACATTTATCGACATCAAGAATAAGCCGTATCATTGATTGGACATCACTTAAGTATTAAACCTCCTTTATATTATTGTTATATTATTTAGTTTTCAAAATATAAATATATTGTTATCATATTTTAATTGCTGTTTTTACTTTCTGTTATTTTCGTACGTAACAGAAATTGGGGGCTTGTCCGGGATACAACTACAACAAGCTAAAATTCAAATATTTCAAAATTAGAAATCCAAAACTTGTACATTTAAATTGTGAAGACAGCAATTAATTGAAAATGAGTTTTGAGGTTGAGACATTTTTAGAATCGCCCTCTTTGGAGGAATTTGATGATTTAAAGAAAACTGAACTTCTGGCAATTGCAAAACATGTTGGCCTGTCAGTCAAAAGCTCATACAAAAAGGATACAATTAAAAACTTTGTACTTCAATATTTGGTCGCAGAATCACTTCTGCCTGAGCAGCCAGCCCAACATGTTGACCCTGTTGATCCTATTAAGCTTAAAGAGCTCGAAATAAGAGAGAAAGAGTTAGAAATTCAAAAAGAAAGAGAAATTAGAGAATTGAGAGAAAAAGAGTTAGAAATGCAAAATGAAAGAGAAAAAAGAGAAAATGAAAGACAAATGAGAGAACAAGAAATTCAAAGAGAAATTGAATTAAAACGTCTTGAGATAGAAGCTCAATCCAAAACTGATGAACATGCTACTATGCATCAACATTTTGAAAATAGGTTTGACGCTTCAAAATTTCTCAAATTTGTACCTAAATTTCAAGAGAAAAATGTTGATAAATACTTTACACATTTTGAAAAAGTCGCTCAGAGCCTAGACTGGCCTAAATCAGCATGGCCAGTTATGCTCCAGAGTGTATTCATTGGTAAAGCAAGTGAAATATTTGCCTCTCTCTCAGCAGAAGTATGCTCTGATTATGACCTAGTTAAAAATGCAATTCTTAAAGCTTATGAACTAGTGCCAGAAGCTTACAGACAAAAATTTAGAAATGCCCACAAACAGAGTGACCAAACCCATGTTGAGTTTGCTAGAGAGCAAGAGCAGCTTTTTGACAGGTGGCTTGTCTCTAAAGATGTATCTGAAGAGTTTAAAAAGCTCAGAGAGCTTATGCTAATAGAACAATTTAAAAACTGTGTTCAGTATCACATTAGAACTTACTTAGATGAACACAAGGTAGAAACTTTAAGTCAAGCTGCTACCCTGTCTGATGATTATGCTCTTACTCATAAGGGTAGTTTTATCAAAGGTAATCCTAACTCAAACTTTAGAGGTTATCAGGGTAACAAACCTTCATATGACTCTAAATCAAATCAGTCCTCATCATCAAATACATCAAACAAAGCAAAAGACCAGTCTAATTCATCGTCGAGTTCTAGCTCAAAATCAGATCAATCAAATTCTTCAGGTCCAAAATCAAATGTCACCTGTAACTATTGTAAAAAGCCTGGTCATCTTATTTCTGAATGCTATAGGATTAAGAATAGAAGAGAGATGTCTGGTTCTGCTCATTCAAATGGTTGTGCTACAGTTCCCATTTCAAGAAAGCCCATTGTTTGGGATTCATATACTCATACTGAGAAATCTACTCATAGTGATATTATGGAGGATTATAAGCCTTTCATGTCCGAAGGATCTGTGTCACTGTCAAGTGATGGTACCAATTCAAAGCCAATTAAGATTCTTAGAGACACGGGTGCATCTCAGACTTTGTTATTAGAAGGTGTCCTTCCTTTATCTGAGGAGTCATTCACAGGTACCCATATTTTGATGCAAGGCATTGAATTAGGTTTTACTAAAGTTCCCCTCCATCGTATTCATATCACATCAGAGTTAGTCAAAGGGCCAGTTATTGTTGGTGTTAGGCCACAACTTCCTGTTGAAGGAGTCGCATTGCTTTTAGGCAATGATTTAGCTGGGGGTAAGGTATCATTAGACCCCATTGTTTCAGATCAGCCTTGTTCTATTGAGGATTCTGTCCAAGAGGACTCTGATATATATCCTGCTTGTGCTGTTACTAGGGCTATGGCTAAAAAGTTAGCTGATAGCGGGGATTCGTCTGTGGGAGATGACTTTGATAGTGGGTTTTTAAGCTCCTTGTTTGATGATGAATGTCACTCACCACTTGTTAAAGATGATCCTTATCCTATTTTAAAGGCAAATTCTTCATTGAAACAGCCTTCTGTTCGAGCCAAGCAGTCATCTATTGAGGCAAATTCTTCATTGAAAAAGCCTTTTGCCAGAGGTGATTCACCTTCTGAGCAGGATCACTATTTTAATGCGGTTTCGCCCGCTCTTGCTAGTCCCGATGAAGTTTCATCTTCTTCTGCTAGTGTTCATGAGGTTTCATCTCCTCCTTGTTCTGAGGTTTCATCCTCTATTTCTGATAGTGATTCTTTGAAAAATGATCCTCATTCTAAACACATGTTAATTTATGAACAAGAGCATGATCCATCACTCATTGATCTTCATAAAAGATGTCTTACTATTGATGAAGCTGACAAGGTCCCTGTTTGTTTTTACAAAAAGGATGGCATATTAATGCGAAAGTGGAGACCTCCTGAAGCTTCCCCTGAAGACGATTGGGCAATTGTACATCAAATTGTTGTCCCCAAATCGTATCATAAGGAAATTTTGAGTCTAGCTCATGATTCTCCCATGGCAGGTCATTTAGGAGTAACTAAAACATACCATAAAATACTCAATCATTTCTATTGGCCCAAATTAAAACAAGATGTCCAAGAGTATTGTAGGTCTTGTCATACATGTCAAATGGTAGGGAAACCTAACCAGAAAATACCAACTGCTCCTTTACCACTTATACCTGCATTTGATGAACCATTCAGTAAGGTTCTTATTGACTGTGTTGGTCCATTACCAAAAACAAAATCTGATAATCAATATCTGCTCACTATTCTGTCTATGGCCACACAGTTTCTAGAAATAAAATCACTCCTTATGCTTAGGAATAGCAAAACCAAGTATATTGTGAAATCACAAATCAACAATTTCACATTAGTTGGGCTTCCAAAGGAGCTTATTTCCAACTTACAATCTGACTCAGTGCTGAATGATTTCATTTGCATTGATAAAGCTACCCCTGTGAGGTGTAGAGAGTTACATATGATGAAAAGGTATGTTGAGCGTGATAAAATTTCTTTACTCAACATGAGCTTGTGCTCTTAGCTCGTAGGCCAAACTTGTATGTCAATGACAACTATACATGTATGTTATTCAAGAGTCAGATATTGTAAATTATAATGATTAACTCATGAAGACTATATTATATGATAGGCAAATTGTATATATGTGATAACTGTCACTTTATTTTAACAATACTGTATATAAAAACATTTGCCTAAATAGTGAAATTGATATTATATGAACTATAAGATTGTATCTAGATTATGTGAGCATTATAGGTGATCATTAAATAGTGTCACAAGATTACTTGATAATATTAGATTGTACTATTAGAAATACTTATATAAGATCATGTGATAATTTAAAACATTGTACAAGTTTAGTGTTTGTCATACTCAAACATGTATGCTATTGTACAAGTTATATGATCTATTGCATGTATTGTATTTATGACTTGATGCATAAATTAGTTTGATACTATTGTAGTATGATACTATTGTAACACATTATTACAGAACATTATATGTTATTAGTTTGTACTCACACTGTAACGATAGAAAGTATTGTATTATTTGTAAACATACTGCATATAAAAAAAGAATATGGTAAACAAATGTTATGTAAGTCTCAACCTCACTTTTAGAAATTGTAATGCTCGCTACTCAAGCTAAGATATTATTGTAAAAGTTTTTCATTGCATTCAAAACTTTTCTTTTAAGGAGGGAGGTGTTACAGTAGTGAGCTACATATATATTATATTCTACTATATTCACCTATAGTTTAATTTGTAATCTATGC